AGCACTACAACATTAGCATTACTGAAGTAGAAACTGGTATTGTAACACATTTCACAACCACCTCAGTTAGTTACACACTAACTGATCTACACCCATTCTACACATACAAGTGTACTATAGTAGCAGTTACTATTGGAGCTGGTCCTGTTACTAGTCTGACAGTACAAATGCCAGAAGATGGTAATTAAAGCTATTACTTTTTAAAATGAGTATTACTTCTTTTATCTATAGTTCCTTCTACTGCTCCGAACAATGTTTTAAATACTGAAGTGACATCAAAAAGTCTTACCATTAACTGGGAAGCGTTACGTCTTGAAGATCAAAATGGATTGATTCGACATTATATAATAAATGTGACGGAAACTGACACAGGATCTCAGTTCCAGTATACATCAACTACTATTGGCATCACTCTTACTGACCTGCATCCTTACTACACATACAGCATCTCAGTATCTGCATTCACTATAGCTGCAGGTCCATGGTCTGACCCAATAATTATTATAACAGCTCAAGATGGTAAAATAAATATTTTTAATTCATAGTGCATTATTATTCCCTTAATTGTTCTAGTTCCTTCTAGTCCTCCCATTGACATTATTACATCATCAATAACTTCTACTGCTGCTACAATTCATTGGTCACCTCCTTCACCTAGTGAAAGAAATGGAATTATCGTTGGATATAATATCACCATTGAGGATTCTTTATCAGATATTGGGCAAGATGTTCTTTATAGTTTGAGACCAATTCTCACTATAAATTTTCTTGAGCCATACACAGTGTACCAGTACAGTATTGCTGCAGTAACTACTGTTGGGCAAGGTCCATATTCAACCTTTTTATCATTTCAAACAAATGAAGCTGGTAAATTTTGCATGAATTAATAAGTTAATTGTTTGTTACTTCCAATTGTAGCTCCCTCAGAGGCACCAGAGTCATTATCAGTGGTTTACATTACTAGCACAACTGTAACACTAACATGGGATCCTCCTCCTTTTGATTCTCACAATGGTGTTATCAGACAGTATACTGTTAGACTTACTGGCAGTGATGATCAATTTTTGTACAATGCAACAAAAAATTCTATCACCATTTCTGACTTGCTACCTTATACTGACTATGAGATTTCTGTGTCAGCATATACAGTTGCCAATGGACCTTTCACTAGATATTTGTCTGTAACGTCTGATGAAGCAGGTATATTTATTTATATTTTTAAAAGCAAATATATTATGTGTTTTATATAGTTCCTAGTACTTCACCTAGCATTGTATCTGTAACAGCTATCAATTCATCAACTCTTAGCTTATCATGGAATCCTTTAGCATCTTCTGATGCTAATGGCATAGTTCGAGAGTATATTGTTGATGTATTTGTGCAGGATTTATCAGAGCACTATCAGTATTCTACTGTTAATACTAGTCTAATTTTGACTGAGCTACATCCATACTACACTTATACAGTGTACATTGCTGCAGTCACCATTGGCAGAGGACCATTTTCATCTGGAAGTAGTATAAGGATGCCACAAAATGGTAAATTTATAATAATTAATATTAAAATAATTATTTTTATTAAAGCTCCAAGTGGTTCACCTAGTAATGTAACTGGCCTACCACTCAATTCAACTGCTATTCAAGTGTCCTGGGATCCGCCACATCTCCATTTACAGAATGGAATCATTAAATCCTATACTATTATTCTATTAGAGTTGAGAACGAATACTTCACAGTTATTATCGCAAAATTCCCTCTATACTACAGTGATCATTGGTGGACTGCACCCTTATTATGATTATAGGATATCTGTAGCAGCTTACACAGTCGGAGTAGGTCCAACATCTATTACTACCATCAGGACACTACAAGATGGTAAGAAATATTTTTATGCCTCAACTATTTGCTCTTCATTAGTCCCTTCAGTATCACCTCAAAGCCTAAGAGTGAATATTTTGAGCTCGACAACTGTTAAAATTGTTTGGCTTCCGCCACAACCTACACAACAGAATGGACTCATATCTCATTATACTGTAGTACTTTATGCTAAGGAAACTAAGGAAACTTTGCAGTATAACACAACTCAATCTTCCATTGAACTTTCCAGCCTCCATCCTTTTTATAATTATACATGTCATGTTGCCACAGTAACAATTGGACCTGGACCAAAGAGATCCATTTCCTTTCAAATGCAAGAGGATGGTAGGAAAGAATTCTATTCAATTATTAATATCATTATTGTTATTATTATTATGTTTTAGTCCCACAAGGACCACCACAAAATCTAACAGTTACCACTTTGAATCAAAGTACTATTCTCATTGGTTGGTCTCCTCCTGTTATCTCACTGCAAAATGGAATTGTCAGATCTTACACCATCTACATATTCCATAATTTAACTAGATCAACAAACTCATACACAGTTTCCAACACAACTACACACATTGTTACAGATCTAAAACCCTTTTCTGTTTATTCCATTAGTGTAGCAGCATCAACAATAGGTATTGGTCCTTTCACTTTACTTATACCAGTGATGCTCCCAGAAGGAAGTTAGTTTGTCAATGAAATTAACTATATGTTCTGTAATTATTATGACAATGTATTGCACTTTAGTTCCATCACTGGCTCCATCTCAATTTGTGGCTGAGTTTGTTTCTAATGGAACAGCTCTTTATTTTTCATGGATACAGCTACCAATAGATGATATCAATGGAATATTGTTAGGATATCAGCTCAGTTGCAGTGGACAAAATGAACATGCATTCTCTGATATAATAACTGGAACATCAGCTTATGCTTATGATGTAAACAAAAATACTCATTATACATGTCAAGTATGTGCATTCACTTCCGTTGGTTGTGGACCAACAGCTGTGACATACATCAGCACATATGAGAACTGTAAGTGTGTGGGGTATGCCTAAATATTAAATATTATGTTATGCTTTAATAATTCGTTTTAGCTCCTATTGGACCTCCTCATTCTCTGTCAGCTAACTCAACCAGTACTACCATTCATCTTTATTGGAAGGCACCGCTTGATCCTGACTCTGTCATTTTGAACTATGTTGTATCGTACTACTTATTGTCAACATCATTTACAATAGAAACTCCTCGTCCAAGTGTCTCAATTGCTGGCATTAATGAAACATCATATTTGATTTCATCTTTGCTGGTATCATCAACTTATCAAATTGAAGTGTTTGCAGTTACGAAAGAAGGAAGTACTCTACCCACAAGTGAACCAATAAATGTAACGACAAGCTCTTCAGGTATAAATTGATAACAAATACTACAAATATTTTTGTTATGTTTGTAGATTCAAACTCTCCTAAAAACTTTACATGTTTAGCTAAAAGTGCAACCAGTTTGAAATGTACATGGCTCCCTCCTGAGAATTTAAATTATTATGTGGAGAGTTACAATATTAGTTACAGACTCGCTGAGGGATTTGATTATTATCCTGGCTATGGAAAAGCATTAGGTACAGTAAATTTACACTCCCCTGCTCTTGAGTACGGTATAACTGGCTTACAACCATATGGAGGATATATAGTAGAATTAGAAGCCTTTCTTTTACCTACAATTGGATCTGGATACTCAGGCTCCCAGCCGTTTGCTCTTGATGAAATCAAAGGAGCTGTCACTACAATTGCAGTGACCAACCCTGAAAGTAATTATTATTGTAAAATGCTATGACATTTTAATCTGTTCTTTTAGCTCCTTCAGCAGCAGTGGAAAATATTTATATCACTGTTATAATTTCTAATGTCATAAATGTTTCATGGAAACCTCCAAAAAGAAGAGATTGGAATGGCAGAATTGATTTTTACAAACTAATTTTGACCCTTCACGATGATGTTGACTTAAAGAAGAGGGCCGAACCTGCAACTAGGGAAATACTAGTGAAACCAACCAGTAATCATCCCGATCCAAGCCTTGCTAAAGAGCCATTACAGCCTGAGTCAAGTCTCATTGAAGGATTAGAAGAAAACTTTGAGTACTCTTTGACCATTGTAATCAGTAATGCTGCTGGTAATGGTATTGTGAGTGAACCAACTACTCAGAAAATGCCACAAGCTGGTAAGCAATAATTAAAATATGGTCATGTACATTTAAATGTATTTTTAGCTCCCAGTGGACCTCCTGTCAATGTAACGTTGAAAAGTGTGACTACAAATACCTTTAATATTACTTGGCTTCCTCCTAATCCATTGGATGCTAACGGAGTCATCACTGGTTATCATGTAATATTCAACAGAACTAGAATCAACGATATCAGTAGCTATATGCTGACTGCTAGTCATAATTATTTCTTGAAAAAAGGTATTAACACATTAATAATTATCTATAATCTCTATTACTACTCTTGGTATTATGTAATTTTGGTATTAGGGTTGCACTCATATGAAATGGTTAGTTTTAAAGTGGCAGCTAAAACAGATGTTGGTTTTGGACCATTTTCCTCTGAATATTTTTTCCAAACAAATGAAGAAAGTAATTTTTACAAAATATCAACTAAAAAGTATTGTATTTTATAGTTCCAAACCCACCACTTTTTCTGAGAGCAAGTTTATTTAATGTCTCTTCAGTACTACTGAAATGGGAATCTATTAGGAATGAGCCAGTGATTGAATATGAAGTGTTTTACACAGGGTATAGTCGAATGGCTAGCCATACTAATGGACCACATCAAAGTGTAGTTTTGTACTCTAAAATTCCTCAGATTGTCATAGTAAATTTGATGTCAGGATATTTATACCAATTCAAGGTAAAATATTGTATCATTGAACAAGTAAAATTAAATTTAGTAGGTCAGAACTCGTAATAATGCTGGAGTCAGTGGAAATTCCTCTGTTTTGATAACAATACCAGGTTTTGAAACATCACCTAGTGAGTCAACATATTTAAAATATAATGACAACTGTGTTATATTTTATTTAGCTCATGTGGGAGAAGTTTCTGGAGCTAGTGATGGATTTAGTACCTTTATGTTTTATATCCCCATTGCTTTTGCCTTATTAATATTTGTTGTATGCACAATAATAATAATTGTTATTATGGTCTTTTTAAAGAAGAACAGAAGCAAGAGGAAGTAATATAAAACTAGACAACAATGATTATTATTATTTCTTTATAGGCAAAAATTTGAACCATCTATGACTAGCAACCCACTAGATCTACCATTATCTGGTGATGATATTCAACCTGAACCTACAAATCCTGTTGAAGAAACAAACCTCAACAGCATGGTATGGAAATTATTTCTAAATCATGATAGTTTATTAGTTTTTATATTATGCCATGTAGAGTTTGAATGAAAGTGTGAACTGTGAAAGTAAGTCACTGTACATACTGTTCATATTCTTTTGTTAGATATAGGAAGCAATGCTACTGATGATCCAACCAGTATTGATCATGCTTAGTTCCAGTAGCCCATCAGTGGCTGCTTTACTTCAGGAACCTAATTTTTGCAATTGCAAAGTTTTAGTGTTGGTTTTTTTATTTTACTGTGTGCATGTAGCTAGTTAGTGTAAACTTATTCAATATTGGTAGTGAAACTTCAATTTGTGTTTAGTTTATTTTAATTTTTATCACAATAATAATTGTTGCTGCAGAGCCATTAAAAAGCAATTGCCAGACCACACCCTCTAGACTATGGGTCTATAATTAGGTGATTTAAGTTTAACTGATTTTTTTAACGGAACAACAGGAGTGGAGTCATTAGAATGAGAGCTAGAATGAGTCTTCATTTCATTTTCCTATGGTCTTGGCTATTCCTTTTTTGCTCTGTGAAATGTGCAGTGGATCTTACTACACAGGAAGGGACCAGTGGTTCTGCGATAGTCGAGGCAAGTATCGCTAAAATATCTCAAGCATCCATTTTTACTGACAACGACCAGCATATGCTAAGACGTATTGCCTATGCAGAAACAAGAGACGGAGAGGATTCTGACACATATTCATCCAATGGTGGGATTTGGGGAGTTGGAGAGTCAAAATACTCGACCACAAAAAATAGATTCAATCCTCAACTTCTACAAAAGTTAAATAAAATTAGAGAAACTTTTAAAATTGAATGGCTGAACACAAAATGGACTGACCTGAGGAAGCCATTTTATTCAGCTCTTGCTGCTCGACTCTATATGTATAAAACTATCATATGTCATTATATATATATGTAATATATATGTATTATATATTATATGTCATTACTCATTCAATTCCATTAGCATCGGACATTAATGGTCAGGGAACATACTGGGCTAACTACTACACAAGCTCTAATGGAACACAATCAGATTATGTGGCTTCTGTCAATCGATTATTAACTTTGCAAAGTAATTGTTTATGTTTTGTTTTATGACTTTAATTATTGTATCTTATAGATTGTAGTGTAAACGCACTTGATTTATATTTTGTCATGGATGCATCTGGCAGTGTTGGACCAGATAACTTTGATCTAATGAAAGGCTTTGTCTATAACATTACTGATAGTTTTAATGTCGGCAGTGATAGTGTTCGTGTTGGTGTAATGTCATATGCATCATCCAATTTTTACCATTTCGACCTAAACACTTACTCAACAAAATCGTCTGTTCTCACTGCTATTAATGATCTACCTTTCAGTGATGGGGGTACAAATACAGCAGAAGCTTTGGATGGAATGAGGACAAGAGGCTTCTCTACATCATATGGTGCACGTCCCAGAAGTCAAGGAGTACCACGGGTGGGGATTGTCATAACTGATGGGTATTCAAACAGTTATTCAGCCACTCTAACAGCAGCTAGCAATGTACACAATGCTCGCATCATTGTTTTTGCTATTGGCATTGCAGGAGCAAATCAAAATGAACTCGATGCTATTGCATCTCAGCCATCTTATGTGTCTTTCGTTTCCTCCTTCAGTTTGGCACTACTGAACTCACTTCAGTTTACTCTTAGCCAGGAGTCTTGTGTTGGTAAGTATAAATACATGTAATAAGTTGTGTAAAATTCTTTTCTTCTCTGTAGCATCACCTAAAATTGAATTGAATAGTACTGTTACCGATAATATTGGATCAGGACAAACAAAGTACCTCAATTACCCACTCCCTAATAATACTCAAGGCATTACTGTTGTCCTCAATGTGACTAATGGCTCTATTATATTGTATGCATCAACAGTTGTCTCAACACCAAATGAAGCATTTCATGAGTTTAAGCTTGTAACTAATACATATGAAGATGTTTTTATTAATCGTTCGAGCCTAAATAATTCTGGAACTGCTGATACTGTTTTTATTGCAGTTGAGGGTAATGGTACGTCAAACCAAATGCAAATCAGTGCAACCCCAGGAGATACTTCAACTGGTAGGTTGATATTAAATCATCATCCAAGTGCTATAATTAATATTGTTTGTAGAACCTGTAGCAATAGATGTGTTTGTTAATCCTAATATTTTTAAGAGCTATGGAGCAACCATTACTGTTGAGTGCATTGCCCATGGAAAACCACAACCTGATCTGAATTGGTACATAGGTGGAACTGTTGTCAATGACCCTAACATTAATGTGGTTAATACTATCATTGATGAAAATACTGTTAAAAGTGAGATCACTATTAGTGGCCTTACTTCAGGTAATGAAGGTTCTTATCAATGCATTGGAAGAAATCTTCTACCAAATGGAAATATTACCAGTTCGCAGTTGTTTGCACTTGATGTGTCTGGAGGTAATTTAACTAACTGTAGGGTCTAGTGGGTGTAAATGCTTTAATGGGGTTGTGTGTGTTGCAGTAGTGGGACCCCATTACATAAATTAAAGTCAGATTTATAATGTATACCAATTGTTGTGTTGTCTCTTTTAAAGCATAAATAATATTGGAGTAGAAATGGCTTCTTACTATGCCTTCTTAAAAAATGATTTATGTGTTCTAGAGTGTGTAATGTAAGCAGCTTGAAGTGTTGACTACCAATTATACTATAGTAGAGTAAGCTACTAGTGTGTAACAACTGCCAGATGGAGAGATACAATGTATCCTATGCTTTTAAGATAATATGTGGATAATGCAACCATAAGACACTCCTAGTTTATTTATACAGGATTCAGTACTACTACACAAACAAAGGATAACAAAATTAAGCACAACGTAGCTAGTCTGCCTATAGTGATATATGTTACCCTTCAGAATTACTAGCCTATTTATCTTTTATTTATTGATTTATATATTAGATTTGTAGTATTGTGTTTATTTTTACAGAATTTTGTATACTTCCGCATAATCCTGGTCCATGTCATGGTGAATATCCACGCTGGTTTTTCAACTCTTCCTCTGGTAGTTGTGAGCCATTCCTTTATAGTGGGTGCGGAGGTAATATTAACAGGTTTAGTAGTCTACAGCAGTGCATTCAATCATGTGGTATGTTACTATAAAATAATGTGTGACTATTTTATCCTTATTTTAATGTTAATAATAATTTTTATCACATTAATTTCATTTAGGATGTGGCAACGGAACAGCTATGAGTTGCAGCACTGACCTCTGTGAAACTAGTTCTTGCGAAGGATATGATAATCCATTGTGTGAGATTGATTCTTGTTCTAATTGTGTAACGTTAAACATTTCGATGGGTTAAGAGATGTCACTAATCAATGTGGTAAGTTTCATTGTCCCACAACATTTATCTATTGCACTAGCTGGTATGTCATACATTTACAATCACAATGACTGTCACACATTGTTTCCTAATAGTATTCTCAAATTCTAAATCCTTACTTTGTTTTACCATTAAATGAATGCCTGTCTTAACTATTAAGTTTCAATTATTGGGCGAAACCTTTAGCGATGAAGTGTGTTTGTTATGGAGATAGGGTCGTCTAACTATTATTAAAAAGAAATAGCCTAATCTTCATTGAAAGCAGGTGTGATCACAATGTCATACAGCACAACAATATAGCATGGCTTGGGGGCTGAGCCCTTTTAAATTCTTTTAGTTATTTTGCATATCTCTGGTTGCCAGATTGATTAGATGCTTGAAATATGCTCAATTTTTGTGTACTATTTTTTGACATTTGAGTCAGGGATCTGTTCCCTTAGATTTGTTGTCTTTTTCCCAGGTAAAAATTTGTTGCAATCCTATTCTTTATAGGCATTTGTGATCTTCCTAAGGAATCTGGTCCATGCTTTGCATATTTTGAGAGGTGGTATTATAATGAAAGGTCAGGTCTCTGTGAAAAATTCATTTATGGTGGCTGTAGAGGTAATAACAACAACTTTATGACACTGAGTAATTGTCTACAGACTTGTGCTGAAGGTAAATGACTGAAAAAATAATGATATATATATATATATGCATGCAATGTTTTAAAATTTAGTTATTACTTATTACCATGTAGTGCGAAATTTTTAGGGCTGGAAATTTTGTGACTTTGCCTTAATTTTTGCAAATTTATGCTGTCTGCCATCTTGTACCGGAATAATTTGAATTTTGCGAATTTAAATTTTTGCAAATCTTTAAAGAATTGCAAAATTTACAGCCCTCAAAAATTTTGTGCTATACAGTGTGCCTCATCTTTTAAGTAATAGACGTTTAATTTTCTTGGTTTATTAGTTGCATAATTTGTATTTATTTTAAAGGTGATAAAACATGTCCAGGAGGTGTGAATAATGAAGAGTGTTATTCTGATCCTTGTCTAACTTCTCATTGCCCTAACTATGAGGATGCTGTCTGCATACCTAACCATTGTGGAGAATGTTCAGCTCATTTTTACAACAGTTCTGGACACGATGTTACAATGATGTGCAGTAAGATAATGTGATGACTCACACTTTTCATATTATGGCCAATGTATTTGTGAGACAATGCAATATTTAAAACTAATTTTTGAATTTTAGATGACTGTCCACCAGAAAAACCAGCAGTTAGGTGTTTTATCAATGAATGTGATCATAAAACATGTCCAAACTTGCCTCCAACTGAATGTCAGTTGGATGTGTGTGGGTCATGCAAAGCACATTATTACTTGAATGACACTGAAGTGACTGATATTTGCAGTAAGTGACTTTTTATGGTATACATGTACCGTATAGCAGGTAATTTTGGAAGGGATTAAATTTGGCAAATTTGGCATTTTGATAGCCATTCGCCAAAATAAAAACCCGCTATTTTGAGCCATTATACGCATGCTCAATGCCACGTGGCCACAAATTTGCCAAATTAAAAGCCGCCAATCACCAAAACTTAGCAATTTGCCAGAATTTAGCCCGTTCAAATTTACCCGCTATACGGTATGTCTATTTGATGACAATGTATTGCGGTGGAGAATTACATGTATAGTATTGGCCATTGGCAGTTCCATTAAAATTAACATTTCAACTATAAAATTTGCCAAAATTAATTATTTCAATCCGAGCATGCTAAATAACATGTAGTTAAAGATTTCCATTGTATAATTCTCCAATTGCTTATTATGCACCAAATAAATCAATCTTTTAGGGTATCAGCAGGGTATTCAATCACATTTGTATACTTTTTTATCTGATTACTTATTTTTGATAGATGCATGTCCAGCTGATGGCCAGATATTTAAAGACTGTGGTGGCTCATGTGAGAGGACTTGTGATGATGTACTATCACAGGATCCTTTTATTTGTGATGTACATTATTGTGTACCTGGTTGTGGATGCCCTGCTGGACAAGTACAATTTATGTTTTAAACTGTTTAACATGTTGGAATATATAGTTGCGCTTAATATTGGCAATTTTATTTTGTATTAGTGGTTTTTGGAGAATTTACACCCACATGACATTGAGCATATTGCTAAGAATATGACATAATTATTTTAAAATTTATTTTGGATTTTTAATTGTTTGCCTACCAATCGCCAAAATAAACCCTATCAATTTTTTGCTTATTTTACTAATAATTATGTCATCATAATCATGATTTTTTTAAATGCATAAAAATTATGTGTATGTGTAGGTATTGGATAAATCAAACCAAAGGTGTGTGTATCCAGACCAATGTCTTTGTACAGGTCAATGTGATCCAGTACCCAATAATTGCTCGAGTATATCTTATGACGAATGCAACTGTACCATATGTGAAGGTAAGCTGTATACCAGGTACATGTACAATTGTTCAAATAAAATTAATTTTTAATAAGTTATTAAGATATGGGATCAATTACATAGTTGTAAAGATGCTCAAAAATCTTGCCAAAGATTCTGTAGTACAGGTTTTTTGGCCATATTTTATCAATAATGGTTTGAGCATAAATATTAAAAAAAATTTTTTTATAACATACCGTATAGGGAGTATATTTTCCAGGGAAAATATTTCACAAAAAATCACCTTTCAACATATTCACAAGAAAAAATTTTATGCATTTTTTTCTACTGATCATTATATGACAGAAAAAATTAATAAATAAAAATTTTCACGAATTTTTTTAATTATCTGCAAAATTAGCAAAATTAAATCCCCATAAAATATACTCTCTATACTGTATACATGACCTGATGTTGTATATTTATTTTGAGCTGATTATGGTCAAGTTTAAATTTTTCATAAATTTTTAAAAGCATTTTGTAGACATACACTATAGTGCATTGCTTGTAAGCTCATGAAGCGTGCTGTTTAGTTCACTTAGCAATTAGCATGCTTTGTAGAAATCCCTGGTGACAATATGTTATTACTTCTTGACACAACCAGTACTGTGAATCAGGCAATTTTCAATGGTTATAAAATAATTTTCATATGCTACCTATTTATCTCAATATAATATTAATATAGGCAAAAAGGAAACATAGTAATTCTAAATTTAGTACATCTTCGTGATTACTATGCATACATTTAATAGCCAGATTTATGGTACTTCTACAGTTCGACAGCAGTATTATCATTACCTAAAACCAGAAACTTCATTTTAAAACCAAGCCATGTTTCTGTTTATGCAAAAACAGTATTGTAATTTATTTTACTTCAACATGGCATAATTGTAATTATATTTTTACAAAAGAAGTCTAATTAACGATATTCTTCAGATTCATTGATATGTCTTCTCATGAATTCCTCGCTGTTTGGCATATTATACACAACCACAATCTTTACCAGAATAAACAAAACATTTCAGCCCGAAGGCCTTCATCAGGAACTGGTGAAGGCCTTCAGGCTGAAAAATTTTGTTTATTCTAGTAAAGATTGTTGTTGTATATGATACGCCAAGCAGCGAGGAATTCATGAGTCTAATAAAATGTGTAATTGTAATTGAGACTTTTTAATTGACCCCATGTCTGAAATTATTGTTATTATATTGCATTGTATGTACATAGATTGTCCTATTGATGGTCAGTTTTATGCCAAAGAGGAAACAAACTGCCCAAAGACTTGTTCTAATCGTTATCTATTGTGCAGTGGTGATAAAAAGCCTGGCTGCTCTTGTCCAGAGGGTCAATTGATTGATGAAATGAAAAATCAATGTGTTCATCCTGATGATTGCCCCAGTAAATAATTTAATGCATAATTTTACACAATTAGCTATGGTTGATTCTAACTCTTAGAGGTTGATCCATGTACCTTAAATCCTCAGCCAGGACCATGTACTGCTAGTATAACAAGATACTATTATAATTACACTACTGAGACATGTCAAGAGTTTACATACAGTGGTTGCTTTCCTAATGAAAATAATTTTCTTACTCAACATGACTGTGAAGAAAAATGTAGTGGTAAGCACATAAAGTAACTGCACAAAAATTATTTTAATTTTAGTCATAATTATTATACTGTTTATATACTTAGCCATAAAACTTTTTATGCCTTCATAGATTGCTATCCAGTTTGTACTCCTGAATATTGTTCGATTAATAGAAAAGCAACGTGTTCTCTGTAAGATATAATTGACATGATGGTCGTACATATCCTTCCAATTCAGACCTTCATCATTGCCTGGTAGTGTTAAAGAATGTCCAGGAGGATGTAACATATCCAATTGTGGTGCATGCTATTATTCATATAATGATCTTCAAATCCCACCTACTTTCAGGGGTTGTCCAACACATTGTCCAGTAAGTAATACTACAGTGGATCAGTTTTGTTTGGAATTTTGGGGAACTTGCATTGATGTAGCTTTCAAAAGATTATATAAAGATGTGAGTTATTATTACCAGCCAGTCTTGCAATTACAACTTTTCTTTTAAAAGGTGCCAGCACGTGAGAAAATAAAAGAAAACTTTCGATGCTGGGAGCATCCTTGCACATCATAAAATTTTAATATTTTTGTTTCTGACTAGACTTTTGTTGGTTTTAGTAATTTAGTGATTTTTTTTTCCGGGTAGTATATGTTTTGTGTGATTCATTACAACCAATTGCACATAATTGGCTCTTTGATAGTCTACTAAAATAATGCAAACAGGTTTTGTTGCCCTTTACTTTATCCAATCTTATGACCCGGCTTCCTTAATGCAATTTTAAGTTTGCAAGACTAATTAAATTTTCTTGTGTCTTATTTTTTTATTTGTTTTAATTGTTTATGATTCTTATGTTTTAATTGTGAGATTTGATTATTCTGTGTATAGCACTGACCCATGCTTGCAACTGTGCACTCCATGCTATACTGTACTTAGAGCACCACTACTATTTTTTAAGTTGGCAATGGTTGTGTAGACAAGTAATAGATCTAGTAGGCTACTTGCACACAAGTACTGGTAATTGGTAGTTGGTTGATGCTTATTAAATTAAAGTAGTACATACACATTTTATCAAACACTGTGTACCATGCTATTGTTAGGTCTAGGTGGGCTATGCACTTTCATGATTACTGCACTTTCATGAGCTATTTCAAGATGCATAGATTAATTTTATTATTTTAGCTATTTTGGCATGATTTGCAATGTCTTTAAAATTTTTTTAAACTTAAGATTGAGAGTATATATACTGAATGCAGTAGTGGAAGTCACGATGAAAGTCGACAATTACATAAATTTTTATATTATGTACTCTTGGTAACAGTGACAAAATACTATAATAGCTGCTAATTTTGGAACGAAAAATTTCGGTCAATTTGGAATTATGGTAGGCCACATTATAATTTTATATTAACAAAAGCACGTGCATGCACGTGGTCAACTCTGTGGGAGTGGCTTCTAGGTTTGAAAATGGTGGGTGATGTTGGGAATTAAGAAGGCACCAGTGAATTGTAGTTGCTTGTAGTAAGTCTTTATTGTAAATTTTGAGTATCTGAATAGGATTCAACAGATATTTGCACTGATTTTTATATTTAAGTGTAACAATAACTTTATTTTTAGGCCATAAAAGTTTGAAAATTAAATAGCTTATCCCTTGCCATATGCATTGTATCTGTAACAATCTGTATTTCAGTGAACTGAAAGTTTTGTAAACCTGTAAAATTACCCTTGTATTATGTATATTCTGATAACAATTACATAGGTAGAGTAATTAGGGATCTGGCGTCTTTTGGCCATTTTATAGAACATTATAGAAGAGGCTCACAAATGACATTTTTATGAAACTGAAATTAGAAAGTAAGTCTTTTGTAACTGGTATATGTAATGATATAGTACTAGGGTTAAAATGGTTCATTTATTGATGCATAAAATTTTAAGCCACAGTTTGAGAAAAACTTTAACTTAAGTTATTCCTTTTAAACTTGTTTGCTACAAAGATGAGCCATAATACTGAATTTTAATTGTTCTTTTTTATCTCTTACTCGGCATAGAAGGTAGAAAACAAGTTAATTATGTAGAAATATTTATTTTTAATCAAATTTCTGCCACTTTAGGAACCCTTCAATAAGTGTATATAGCGTAGTTTTTGAACTATCAGTCAGCTAATGTTCCACAAAAACAGCCTGTGTTCACTTGAAGTTTTTATGACGAATACATTTAAGTCCCTGTTTTTATTTTTCAGAGCCTTATTTTTCTAGTAATTGGTTTTATGTCTTAAGCCTGGTTTCCATATAGCCCTTACAAAGTGTTTGCAATAATAGTGGAGATAGAAATTAGATGTATCTCTAGATCAGTTGTTATGAGTTGTATGCTATAACCACAGGTTACATACAATAGCCACAACTATATTTAGAACAGGCTTAAAAATTCAATTTTCTTTGATAATGTAAACAAATGCATGAGTGGACAAATGCATATGCATGAGTGGACCATTGTTATTCTTGTACTCTAAGATGGCTTGCTAGCTAGACTATAGATGGCTGACAGAAATTTTGACTCCATAATTACCCGCCTATTGCATTGGCCTATTGAGAGCTTCTTTCTTAATACTAGTTGATTTTCATATTTTACATATGGATAAAATTACGTATGAACCATAGTATGTGCACGTATTTTGAATTGCTTTAATTAGATAATTATTGTACTCTAATAACGAAAGAGAGAAAGTTTAAATGTTAATTTTATTTTAGTTTAAATGTTTAGTCTTATTATACATACACGTATTAGTAATGGCCTCCATCAGATACACTATGACTATGCCTTTGCTAATATAAACCTTTTATTGGAGAGCTCATTGTGCTGAGTGCCCACTCCTCTCTAACCATATCACATACTGCATGTAGATCGTAATTTTGGATTCTAAAGAGCAGGTGTTAATTAGGTAAATTTGTGACGATTTTTGCATGCATATAATAGCCAGTTTTAAATTATTTTTGTGAATGGCTATCAAAACACCCAGTTTGCCACAAATTTATTATTAGTACCCACAAAATCTACTGAGAGTTAAAATTGTTGTACCAGTATATGTTACAACCTGACATTAAGATATTACTGCTATCAGTATCACCATAACTCATGCATTAATTAAATCTCGTGGGGTTTTAGCTATCATTTATTACTTCATGTACATAAATTGATTTATACTTAAGAGCACTTTGGTGTATAATCTATACATATTTTCTAATGCTCATAAAATTTTGTCTGCATAGCATAGGGCAAAAGTGTACACATGAATGCAAGATTTTATTTTGTTATTGAAGTGCTTAAAATCAGACATTGCACATGTATACACGATACACGAATATTTATACGAATATTTAAATAAAAAGTATATACATGTATATATATGATAAAAATCAAATATATACACGGTAGATGCATATTGCGCAAGCGGAAATCACACCCATTAATTATCTAATGATAACTAGTACCAACTACTACTACGTGATCTAAAATGGCTACTGTAAATTACCCTGACTTCTTTGAGTTTCCTTCCTTAAGGCCCTCTCAAGCTAATCAGTGCCATGCAAAATGTAAACTATGTAAAAAGTCCTACAAGTATTCTCTAACAACAAAGGGAAATCTATTGAAGCATCTAAAGATGTTACATGAGCAAGTATTGAGTCCCAACCAAAATATCTGTATATACACGAAAGTATCGAGATATAATGCATGTATATACATGACATAATTCTAATGTAGATGTATATACATGATACATGATATTGTACATGATGCAATGTCTGCTTAAAATTATATTGTCATACAGAAAGTTTTATTCTGTTTATACAAGGTTTAAATAAATGTAGTCTCATGTTAAGTGAGCTAAAATGCATGCTTCTTGAGCACATTGTGTAGTTTTAGCGAGTCACAATAAAAGTATGCAGTTTTATGCTTAAGCGTACATGTTATATGTAATAGCCCTTTTTGTCTAAACAGGCTAAGCTGATCATACACTGTACATAAATTCACCCTATATTAATCTTTATTGATTGTAATATTGATTATAATAAATAGTTTTTCATTTAGGGCTCTGCCTTGCTCTACGATGTTCTTGCTTGATCAGCAGAATTCTTAGTTTCAAGCATTTTAAAGTCACCAAATTTTTGTGATGGTGACCGCCTAAATAAGTATTGAGGTAAATGTGTGGTTGGGTATTGCCTTTACTTTATGTTCTGTTTAATCTGTTTTTCATGTGTGCATTATCCATAAGTATTGAAAATGTGTCACTATTATTGTTAATTTGTTATATATTCTCTTTGTTGAATCAATTGACACACACATTCACACATTGCAAGACATTATGTAATATATATAGTATGGTAGACAAGTCTGTATCCGTTTTAGCAGACCCGAGGCCGAGGTTGAGGGTGTTACTGGTTGGATAGCAGCCAGAGGCGAAGCCAAGGGCTGCTATCCAAGGCTTCCATCCAACCAGTAATACCCTCAACCTTGGCCTCAGCTCTGCTAAAACAGATACAGACCTGTCTACCATACTATATATATTACTTATAGTATACTACGTGGGCGCATCAAAGGCACCGCCTGTTCCGTTATATTGCATACAGCACTAGTACAGCACTGGAAGTTAGTGTCGGTTGATTGGCTTCACAATGGCTAGCAGTACTGGGTGAGAAGTTCTTTGTGACCAGAGAAGAAATGAAACTCCTCTACCTATTGTGGAACAGACTCATAACACTCCTTTACGACCATTGTCGACATTTTGCTGTCTATCAGTGCCCAGAGATGTTCTTGTATTGATCGTTGGGCAACCAAGTCCGTGTTATGTGGCAAAGAAAATTGTCTCGCAAGCTTTTAAATGTTTGTGCTGGCTTTGTCTCAACTTTGAAAACTCGAGAAAACTTCTCTAGGAGTGCATTTGGCTGACGCCTTTGATGCGCCCACTATATCCCATAAATTAATTATAGCACAGTAAAGTGCCTCGTGCTGTATTGGCTGTCTCGACTCCACCCCTCGTGCTGTTATCAGCCATACAGCACTTTTTACTGTGCTATAACTATTATGTATGACTTACATGTATAAACAAAAATCATCATTCAACAGATGTTAAACATTATAGTAGGAGGGTAATTTTTACTATGATAGTATAGCTATGACAACTGTTATTACAATCATTGAATTCCTAAAGTATGCTATATGCATTGTAATTGACTGGTGGATTGTACACCTGTTGCTCTTACCTCATCCTTAATTACTTTCAGTTTCAATTTACTGGTTTATTATTTCTGCTATATTTGTACAATTGTAATGAGTTATTTGTAATTTGTGTTTCTATTAGATGAATCACTTAGTGCTGATGTAAAAGTGACAATCTAACTCATTTCCAGCCAATCAGTGTCTGAGTGTCTGTATTTTGTAGATGTCAAATCAAGTCAAAAGAAGGTATGTACCTAGTCACGTGTCCTTTGTTGCTAAAAATAATAATTTTAGTTCATTGATGCCTTTAATCATCAGATTTTGCAAATCTCATACATACATGTAGGTTACCGTATAGCAGGTTTTTTTCAAGGATAATAAATTTTGTGAATGACCTGTGTCCGGAAGTTTGCGGAATTAATTTTTGCAAATTTTCACTAATCTGCCATCTTGTACCATATTAAATTGATTTCCAAGGAATTTAATTTCGCGAATCATGAAAAATCTGCAAAATTTGTTATCTTTGAAAATTTCCCACTATACAGTATAATTTTGGTAGCCCTGGTCTGTTCTGATCCAATCAGGACGTTTAATGACAAGTTTAGTTTTGATAAGAGTGTTTTTGACAAGGGTATCAAATGACCTGTATGCAGAAGTTCAAAACTTAATCTTTACCCATTTAGCATACCATGTATAGACTTTTTTGTGGCCTAGAATTTTTGCAAATTTTGCATTTAACTTTTTCAAAATTTATGAAAATACATTTTGTGAAAATTATTTACATACAGTTCAACACGGCTGAATTGCAAAATCAAAGCCTTAAAAAAATTTTTGGCTAGATCCACAAAATTTTTGGGCCACGGAAATAAAGAGTTTATTTTTACAATTTTTTTAAAATCCACAAAATTTGTTTGCCTCAAAAACCCACTATACAGTATAATATACATGCACATGTAGTCTTGTACATAAATGTACAGTTAATAATTTACTTTATTGTTTGCTCCAAACTATCTCTTTTCTTTCTATATGTCTTCAAATTATAGTAATATGTTACTATTAAATATGATTATAAAGTTGTGTAGTTCTTACTGGCCCTGTGAATACTGCATGTTTTTAAAGCAAGGATTTATTTTATTGATGCATTCTAACTTTGAAAACTAAATTTTTGTTGTATGTTTTTAGTAGTGCTCCAGTCTCATAGCATGTCTTTTACCACCCACTAGAGATGTAGCTCAAAGGTATAAAATCAATTGCATGTAGTGTCACTAGTGAGTCATCATAAGGGTTTTGAAGTGACAGTGTACATGTACAAGTCACGGTAACCTCAAACTTTTATTTTTGAATTTTTGTTGAAAATAATTTTTTTGTTTTACAAATTATTTGTTGAACTTTTTAGTTGAGTTTAATGGCATTGATTTTAGTGATTTTAAGCCTGCTGATTCCACACAAAATATACCAGCTATAGAGTATCAAGTAGTACACATGTATATTAATGATTTCATATTCTTCACAAGCATAGTTCATCACTACATCGACACACAATACTCCTGGAGTAGAAAAATTCTCTCCAGAAATTTTTTATGAGTGACTATTTTGACTATAGTAAACCTATGTTGACCAAGAAAAATAGCTATCAGGTCGTACTTGTGAACTAATCTAGTGGTATGAAGTTGCTAGTGATTCTCTCCTCATTTATGTTTGTTTAGAGCATAGAATGAGAAAAGAAGGTGTTTTTGTGATGAAATGAATAGAGGTCTATGCAGGCACAGATAAAGCTTCAAAGGAAGGTCAGTGATTGTAATTCTAATAATAATTGATAAGATGGGCTGTTCTTTTATAAAAGATATCTTGTTACCCTTTTTCTTTTTGTATTTGTTTAATGTACTTTTTGCTGTTTATTATTTAAAATCTATAAAATATTAAATTGGTTAGTCAAATAGCTGAGTGTACTAGTAAAAGGGAAATTTGTTTTATTTACAAAAATAGTTGTAGTTAGGTCATTTTATCTATTTTGATATTCTCAAATCTCAATGTATTCTCTAAAATTACCTTTGCAAAAGCAATGAATTATTGAAAAACCAAGAGAAAAGGAATCTCGTAAATATTATTTTCTAGCTACACTGTTGATATAGTATATGAGCTCATTCAAATTTACAGTATTTGTTATAATAGGTTTTGCAATGATCATTCCCTTCTTTTCTATATAATAATGATTTTCTGTTAGATTGATTTTGTTTGTACTGTACCTCCTAATTAATAAATATTCTATCATGATTACATAAATTACTCACTATAAATTTTAGTACTGATTAATTTTATAGATACAGACTGCTGATCAATGGGTTAAAGAAGGTCACAAAAGAAGTTGCTGCCTGTATCATGTCATTAGTTGGAGTTTATAGTCTATATGCACTTTATAGTACTATTGTTTGTACAAGCATAGCGAGACTACTACAGTCCTGTTCCTGATGGAATGCTATGACCAAAAGAATCCCTCCACATGTCACTTTTAATGCCTGTTGCATTTGTTGTCACTTATATACTTCATCCTCATCCACTTTTATTGTTCAGTGTTCAAGTGAATTTACTGATTATAAATACACTGTAATGTTACAATTAACGAACTGCGCATGCGTAGACTCTAGATTCTGATTAGATTTAGGCTAGATAATCAGTCCACGAGCGCAGCTTAGAAGAATATATTGCTGTTATGTCTGAGAAGCATTTTAGCATTGATTTTAACACCGCTGAGTTAGTCAGCTATTTAGCAGAGGATTTCGGGAAGAGAGTGTTATCATATATTGAAAATAATGAGATTGACGGCAAATCTTTCCTTTCTCTTACCTGCGAACGTTTGAAGGATTCGAATCTTGCAGCCAAGTTTCAGAAAGACTTGCTTGATAAAGTAACTGAGGTGAAGAGTAGTCTTCCTTTGTCAACGTGCTCTAAACCATCGGAGGCTATGGAAGTTGCAAAGTAAGTCAGAATTTTAGTTTGTTTTTTTTTTACATAGTGACAGGCCTGCTGCAAGAAACGTATTGCATATTATATTTCAAACGATTCTTCCTGCTCATTTGTGGGGATGGATAGGAGGAGATGTCTGTGTTAAGTTTTTAGAATCTAAAATGTATCACCCTCTAGAAATTAAAAGGTAAATTTGATTTGTCATAATGCATAAATGATAATTGGGAGCTGTAACATAAAATGGCTTGGGCATTTCTGCACACTAGCTGTGTAGTAATTTTGTCAAATTATTAATCAAACTAAATCAGTGTGCTGTACTGTACAAGATGATTTATTGGCGAGAGTAATATTTGGCAAATTTGCCAGTGGAAAGTTAATTGGCGAATTATATATTGGCAATTTGAGCATACTCAGATTGAAACAAAATGGCGGATTTATATTGGTAATTTCTTCATAAAATCTCTAATCGCCAATATTAATTCCTTGCCAATAAGTCATTTTGTACAGTATTATGTGACACACAAGTATTACATATACATATATTGTATAGCCATAAATATTTTAATTTAGGTATCAAATTTTATTCTCCCCTGCTTTTGAGCCTGCCCTATACAAATTCTCTTGGTCTTGTTATAGGTCTCTAAATATCAAATCTCCACACAAACTGAGTCAACTATCTACTCATTTTGTATGGGTGGTTTCATATGACGTCACAGCATGCGTCATATATGTAATTACCTCCGTATAGCAAAATGTCTACTTTGCCATTCACTTATACAGTGCTATAAACTCTTCTGCAGGCTCCCTAACTATGAGCATGGCTATCATGCTACTCTTTTATTTGCCTAGACCCAAAGTCCTTGTATAGAGAACCAGTGACCTGGCCAAATTGAACATAGTATCTTATTCCTAAAATTATTGCTATCACTACTTTTCTGCTTACTATACTATTATAATTTTACTCCTTTTTGCCTTGGGCTGTATCAAACATGTTATAGAAGAATGAACTTTATTGCCATAAGTGAGTGAGGCTGCTCATTAAAAGTGACGTCACTGCAACTGCTTTATTATTTTATAGTATTGAGAAATGAGACGAAGCATACCCTGTTTAGAGACAATTTTTTAATAGTTATAATGCATGCAGTGTACAAGGGGACAGATATATGCAGCATCTTTTGCTGCCGTCTAATGAAAAGTGTCATGTGTGATATTGTTTGTGACTAACAAGTATTTTTAATAATTTTTAGTGAACCTACATATTCAGGATACATTCTTTTTCAAGGAAAGGTTTCAGTTTCTATTGATACAATCAAAAAATGCAAATTTTGCTTGCTTTATAAATATCATGTGTCATCTCTTCTTCTTTCTGATCCAAAATATCATTGGGAAGATTTACACTACTTTGATGATGCTGTTTCTCGTGTTCTAAAAATTCCAGAGAATTTCTTGTATCCTGAAAGTAAGCCTATTCATGGGAAATAATTGTGATTCTGTGGAAGAGATTTAACTACATGAAGTACAATGTGTGAGAGTGATTAACAACTTATATTTATGTATAACCTACAAATACTAAATAACCCTCCAAATTTTGGTTTATTAATTTTTTTTCTGGGAATTTTAAAATTCAAATTATTCCTTAATAGAATTTTTGTTGTGTGCATTTTATAGTATTACTATAAAATGCACACATCAAAAAAGTATGCAAATAAAATTTCTGATTGACAACTATACAGTATTGTGTCTTTATACTTAAGAACAAAATTTACTCGTAATATTTTCTTTACATTTATATTGTAGCTACATTTCGCCAATATGATGTACCAATATACCCTAGAGAAAAGATCATTCATGAAGTGGAGAACCGCCTTGATGCTGTTGAACAACATTTGAAAGAAAAATTTCCTGGCACATCAACTTATACACTAGAACCAAAATTTCCTGCTACTGATTGTGATATGAGGAATATAAGCCTAAGGCTTCACTTACATAAGTTTAAGTGTGAGTTATTAAAATGCTCATTTGCTCTTAGTTCATCATTAATCAAAGAATTATATGAGAAAATTAAGCTTGTTTATAAGCAGTTATATGACATAACAGCTCAAGTGGAAATTGTGGAATATGTTTATGCAAAAAACAAGTCATTTGTTGCTGATGGAAATTTCATAGAGGTATTCTATTTTATTAGCATTATTTTTAATTGAATTACTGTAATAATAGTGCTTGTCTGACTGGATAGTTGATTTGGCAAAAAAATTGGAGTCCAAGTCTTTATCAAATCATCAGTCTATTATTCCTGGCGCAGTTTTTTGTTTGTTACTTTCTGATTTTGATATTGTAGAAAATTTACCACAAGATACATTAAAGTTATTAATGAAGTTTCTGTACCTTAAGCCTGATGAAGAAGGCAACTCTGCTTACAGAAATCTATTGAGTTGTTTGTCAAATATTGATTTGAAGTAAGTTATATGTACCAGAGTTACCGTTTCACCTTGATTTTAATTAGGAAAGAATTGCATAGATCAGTTGAAAGGCTATGCCGTCAGTTCATTAAGCTGATTCAAGGGAAGAGTATTGACTGGCTACGAAATACTCCCCTCCCACTTTACCATTTTTTACGAGGAATAAGTGAACCATTTGTGCCTATTGAAATGAATCTTGAGATGGAGTGGACTTTTTGGCAAACTATTAAAGATAATAAGCGTAGTTTTCACAAATATTTGCAGGAGAAAGATTCCAGGTAAATGTTTGTTTATAAGGCTTATTTTGCTGTTGTGATAGTATAATTTTGCTAAGTTCGATTTTTGATTGTGATTTTAGTAGCAGTGTGATAGCCATTTGTCATTATTTCATTAGGCACTTTAATTGCTGTGACAACTGGTTGACAGCATACTTGCAACTGGGTTTTCCTTGCATGTGGTTTTGTTTGTACATGCACCGATTTGCCAAGTTTAATTTCCTCCGAAATTTCCTGATATGTGGTACACATAAAGGCTTAAATATACATAGGGTATCATGCAGGTTTTTCATACAAAATTTTAATTACAAAAAGTGTCTCTTCACTTTTGAGTATTTTCTCAACTATATATTAATAGTTAGTTGTGTAATTTTTGGCCTCATTAGTAATTAGCATTGGCGAGGACTACATGTATGTAGTTAAGTGTTGTGTCTGTTGTTCACTCATTCTGTCCACCGCAACTCTCACTTCTAGGCTCTGTGGTTTTAAAAGGGGCTCACCTACAATCACCAAAACTTCTCCATGGGCTTTAAAAAGTTACTTTCTACTACTTTATTAAGTATAACTGGCAGTGGAAGGCACCAAAAGCCATTAATTTTGCCAAATGTAGCAGGTTCTTGATGGATTTTTTCGTGCTTTGAGTAACAGGGCTTCATAGTATCTTTAGAGAGTCACAGAAACTTGATCTGAAAAAATAATAGCATTTTGCTGAAACTTTTTTTGTTTTGAAGATATGATTGCCTAAAATCACTTACCTCTTGACTTTACATGAGGTGTTTGTCCTTAGAAAGAGTGGCATAAGTCTATAAACTTCAGACGCTTGACAAGAGTTGGTATGCAAAAAAATGTGTTTGTGCACTGAGTAGAAGTCCAAAAAACTCAAGCTTCTTCCAGCAGTTAGTCTAAGAGCCACCACATTACTCTAGCAGTCAAGATTTCACACTTTCGCTGGATTGTAATATGTAGGACAAATTAGTTTTGAAATCATACATGTAAAACAATTATTGTTTTTTCTTTGTTTTGGTGAGGCCAATGTACCAATGGTGTCTCGTTTGATTTTAGCTAGCTTTAGTTATAGTTATTTTTTAATATTTCAAAATAGTTGTAGTTAGTTTTGTATTTTCTGAGAATACTTTTAGTTAGTTATAATTAAGAATTTTTAGTTTATTAATGAATAATCAGAGGATAATTAAAGTTTGCATCTAAATCTTGCTCTCAGCATTACTTTAAGATTCCCTCCAGACAGTCAATTTCTCTTTCCACAAAACAATTTTTGTGACAATGGATCAACTTTAGATAGTATGACTCAGCAGTAGTGAGGTGCTGGTAATTTTATGTTTTAGATGGAACATTAGCCATTTTAGTTTGTACTAATAGTTTTTTTTTAACAATACTGTCATTCATTTAAACACACCATGCTGACATGTTTTTATATATTTATCAGCAGTATTGAGTGGTTTTTAAAAGCAGCTTAAATATAAGACTCATTGACACTCATTGAGTAGCATTGGGACTGGACACATGCAGACTTGTGCACCTCAGCACTCTCCAGCTGTCTCAATTTCTAGATACAGTGGAACCTCCGAATAACGAAACTTTTGGGACACAAGAATCTTTTCATTACATAGAGGTTTTCATTAAAGGGAAGTTTTGTAAACGAGGCATCCCCAATGTGAGACTTTACCTTCTTATAAAAAATGAGGGGCAGTAGACAGCAGAGTAAGCTGGGTAACAAATTGCAGAACAAGAAAAGAGAATTAGAAAATAAGTTTGCAGAATATGTTTCTAAATGAAGGAAAGGCTATTAAAGGCAATTATCTGTGCTCCTGGATAGTAAGATGGCAAAATAAGAGTGACAGAGCATAATGTGAGGAGAAGAAAGACGCCATTTTTACAATGGGCAGGTCTCTTTTTAATTGCTTATGATATCATATGACGTCACAGAACTAGTGCGCATGCGTGGCCATGCCCAATTTCCATTAAATGGAAGTAAAATGGCATCTTGGTAAAAAAAAAAGCTTTCGTTATTTCGTAACAAAGGAATTTTCGTTAAAGGGAGGTCCGTTTTCATTGAAAAACTGGGGAAATGAGTTGGTACATTTAATTTTTTTCATTATAAGGAGGTTTTCGTTAAAGAGAAGTTCCGTTATCAGAGGTTCCACTGTATACCCCCGCCTGACATTCATTTTCTACTTTTTACCATTTTAGTTGTGAACAATATTTTTCAGATCGATGCATTTTTGTTTTGTTGCCGCTGAACTTGTTAGCAACAATGAGAGATTTTCTTCTTATTAGGTTTAAAGATATTTACTTGTCTCTTGAAGATCTAATGAAATTTGATCCAGTTCTGATGAAAGTTGTTCTTTACTTATGTCCTGAAGATCAGTTGCACACTATCATTCCTCTTGCACCTCCATTTTTGATTACTTCATATTTGATTCATATTTACAAAGACAAAGGAATCAAGGAAAATGTGGTATTTTTTGCAATTAGATATACATGTATTGGCTAATTCTGTTATTATGTATAATGATAGGTGAACTTTCTAATGATATTCATGTTTTTGTATATACACATAATTGTTGTAAAGAAAAAAGCCATGCACCAGCTAAAACATAGCTATTGTGCATTTTACTTTAGTTTGTGTGTGACAAAAATTTAGCCTCTATTTTAACAATGTACTGGGAAATTATTAATGCTGATACACAATTTTGTAATGTTTCTGGGCTCACTTTATACCTAAATACATTCATTAAAATTGTGGACTAAAATTTAATGCAATGAAAATTTGAACATTCTATGTAGCAAATTTTGTTGGCCTTGACATTATTTTATTTTAATACCTTTTAGGCTTCACTTTTGAATCTTTGCATCAAAAACTTGGAAATATCTTTAAGTCAGCTGGAAAAGGAGGAATGGTTAGTGATAATATTCATTATTATTAATGTTCTAGTTTATATAGGAGAACAAATGCTGATAAATTGTATCAAATTTCAGTGAAGTTGATAGAGATAGTTTTTAAAAAAATTCAGTCAACTGAAAAGCATCATCAGACAGTTCTTTTTGCTATTATTAATTATTACCTATACCTTGTTTCTAAAATGTATGAAAATGAAGAAGAGCCAGATACAAAGAGTCACATCAAAAAAATGCTGGACATCTTGATCTCATGGTTTAATCATCATCATGTTATTGGTGGATCTAGTTTTGGGGGGGCTACAGGTATTAAGCAGCAAAAAGTTAAGGAAGAGCTTCAGGTACTTTTATAAATTTATTTTGCCTTTTACGTATATATTATAGATTTGGATATCGTTATATGAGTGTGTGAAATGTCCTGAATGCATTTCAGATTTATGGACCCGCCAGCTTAAAGCTCTTTTAGAAGCAAGGACCGAGGAGGTTTTATCAATAATCATTATTGTTGTGTTTACTGGAGTATAACAGGTATCTTCAAACAAATCAAAAGTCGCTGTTTTTTTAGAAGTAGTTAAACATGAAAATTGTCCTGAAGGAATAGTGGATATTTTTATTGTCACAGCATTAAATGGATTAGCATCACTTAAAGGAAATGTAAGCATGAGTAATGTAATTTGCGAGGAATTAGTATTAGTAATTGGTAGTTTTATATAGATACAGTCTTTTTAAAATCTGCCATATGAGCATTCTCAATGACACTTGGAACAAAATTGCCCAATATAAACTACCATTTAATTTTCTCACAGGTAAATTTGCCAAATATTATTCAGGCCAAGAACTCATCTTGTACTGCAGTATTTTGTTTCTTGTGGGCTTATTTACCATTTTAATAACATTATAAAATAGCTACATCTATATACATGCATGCCCCAGGGCCAATTTTCGTTCAGGCATTAATTATTGTTTTGATTTACTTTTAGGAGGCTCAAGATGCTGTAGCAACATTAATGAAACAAAAAAAATATGTTGCTAAAATTGGAAAACTTCTTTCTCAGTTCATTATGAAGCGACATGGTGGTCCATTTGTTCGAAGTGAACTGACTACTGATGAATTATTAAACTGGGAAGTGTGGCCCAACTTTATTGAACTGTCAGGTATTGTATCAATTTATTTTATATTAATCAAAACTGTTGATGCCACTACAATTAAAATATTGTATAGCTGGTTTATTTTGTGGCCTCGAATATTCATGGCCTCAAATATTTATTTTAAATTTTTGTACATGTCGCTTACAAACTTTTATTTTCTTATTTTAATGTTAATAAAATTTAGTGGAATTAATTAATTCAACACACAATAAACCAGCTGCATGGCAACACATGTTAAACTGAGTAAATCACCAGTTTCCATATTTTGAATTCCATGTTTATAAAATAATATTAAATATTAAACTTCATGGTCTGAGTTCAACTCTCAATTGAATATTGTATGAATGTACGATATAAGTAATTTCTGTACATTTTTACTGTAAATTGAAGTGTTGTAAATAAGTTTGCTTGCACTGTACTTTAAGATGGCCTGTGTGGGCTTTGCACTTTTAAATTCAAGCATATTTTATACCTAGTAAATATGAATGCATCCAGAAATTGGTGATTAATTCTAGATAACATAAAAGTAATTGCTACTTTAATTGTTCTTATTTTGTTTATTTCTATAGTTCAAAATGATCCTGTTATTGCAGAAATGACTGGAGAGTCAGTGGCTCTTATTAAATGGGCACATAGCAAAATAATTGATATTGAAAGTAGTTTAAAAAATGGCAGCATTACACTAAACGAACTTAGTCAATTAGTCAATGAAAAAGAGAAAACTCAACGTTTATGGAAAGCTTCTGGTGTTTCAGTTGATAACATATGCTCATTAGAGACTGTGATTGTTGCATTAAAAGAGTATGTAGATGTTGTGTCAACATTATTTCACAGTTTGCGTCCATGCTTTAAAGGTTAGTTTTAAACTATATCATCAGCCTTGTTACACAGTTTATTTCACGTACTTGTCCCTTATACAGCATAAATTTTTAGAAATACTTTTGTATATGTTCATACCAATTGTGATAAGGGGTTGTAGATTTTTGTTTGTATTAATGCTGTCAAATTTAGAAATTTTTTACATCATATGCATTAGAGCTGCAGTTGTGAATGGTAGCAATGCTGCAAACATTTTGAGTTTTGACAAGCAGCAGATGAGTTGTTTGCTCCATGTGTACAAGAGTCAGATTTGATATTCATAAATACATGTAGTTGCATATGTCTGTTGTGGTAAAACTATTTCAGAGTACTGTGCATGGCATGGTTTATTCATTTGTGCAAAAAATTTTAAATCTGTTGAGAATGTTTTTGGGTCAGAAATTTATATTAGTTCTGGCAATAAAAACTTGGACCTTTTGATTTGCTTTGCATGTTGTAGTATAAAGCTGTTTACAGATGATTCACTCATGCAGTTTATAGTTTATGTGCTAGATTTCTACAGCCTTATAAATGGCTTAAAAGAGATCTTTATCACAAAGCGACCTTCTAGTACCTTTAAGATAATGTCTCCAAACTTAAGGTTTTTTTTCTTAGTTTTTAATTTTTTAATTGTATTTTTAAAACACTTTATATGTGTTATTTAAAACATGAGGATACTTTGAATTGATATCATCCAAGGGTAATATTAATTCAAAGTATTTGAGGTGAAGGGTATAATAACCTATATCACCATAGATATAATACACAGAACACGATTAGAAACAGGATCACGTGAGCGCATTACCCATTGAAACACTCCTAGTTTGCCGGGAACTGGTCCCGTAATAGAGATGAATGGAGATACTTTGTGGGACTCTCCAGACGATATCTGATAGTTTTGTAACTAAATATTTGCTTTTATGGTACTTCTTAACCTCTTACAGTGCACTGTGATGTTTGTTATGGACTGCGTTTAATAGTTTTAGAGTACTGACGCCATTGAAATATGGCCTTTTGTTTTGACATGCCATAACTTTCTAAAACTTCTGTTTAAGCACTAATAAATGTCTTAATGCACTAAAGATCCTCAGAGAGTAGCCATAAAAGCTCATACTAGTGCGTCTCACCGTCTCCTGAAGTTGCTAGAGTCCCACAAACTTTTTGAAAAGGGACAGTTGGAGGCCTGGGCAACAATCAAGCACCTGCCCAGGGCTCCAATATAACTAGGAGTGTTTCAATGGATAATGCGTTCATGTGATCCTGTTTCTAATCCTGTTCTGTGTATTATATCTATGGTATCAGCGTGTTTTATATGATATATTTTATTGTTCATGAGGATTTATGTATATCACATATACAATAAAATTTTATTGTATAAGTTTTTAATGTTCATGTGTCCATCACCTTTTGTTCAATAGGCTATGAAAAAATGAGAGAAGATTTGTCACGAGATAGAAACTCTCTTGCAATAAATGAAATTTGTCCAACTTGGGCTACTGGAAATCGCTGTATTTTTTTATTAAGCTCTGAGCTGGGGAAAGATAGTGCTTTAATGCAAAATATAAATACTTTTTATGTGATGATTAAGTGTGAAATTTTTAGAACAATTTGGTGGACCTATCAGGAGAAACTAACAGATAATAATTTATCACAGCAGCAGTTTGTTGATCTTGTTTGGTCACCAGCAATTGATGACAGCCTCAGTTTAATCAATAAATGCTATGATGGGTCAGCAATTGTTTCTGATGTAGTCATTTATTTCCCAAGCTTTGACCAAGAAACAATCCAAGATTATTTAATGGCTTTGCAGAAAGCATTGAGCAATTGCTCTAAATATTCTGCAAGGATCCCTGCAAGAAATACTTGGATTCGCGGTGTTTCTAAAAAAATTAGCACTTACCAGCGTTTCAGGCACTATCAAGAAACTGCAGCTAACCTACTGAAGTTGAAGGATTGCTTGCAATGGACAGGAAGCTTTCATTTATTGGAATCTATTGCTGAACAGGTATGTTAAAATTTTATTGTCACAAAAATAATATAATATTAATTTAGAATACATATATTTCTACACTAAATGATGTAAATGAGTATGTTTTAAGCACTTGTGAGAAGTTGAAAGTAGTATCTGCTGAAGATAAAAAGAATTGTTTACATGATCTAGTTGAATCATGGGAAATTGTTCAATGGATAGCACAAGGCTTCACTGGTATAAGTTATTGACTACAATCTTATCTTTTGGAAATTTATATTTAGATCTTCCTGACTTGCAAACTTTTATTGATGTGGCATACACTTCTGGTACCATTGCTGATGATGACCTTAATATTAAAAAGTTAAATGCTCTCAGATATGTGGGCAACTCTGTTGCAAATTTTATTCCTGTGATAAAAAATAATAGCCAATCAATACAGCAATCATTAGGTTTGTTCCAGTTTATCATCTGTTTACAGTGTCATAGTTCCTTTCTACAGGTAGTGGTGGGGATAACAACAGTGATGATCAGTCTATGAAGCTTATTCAGTTATGTCATAATCTTTGGATTTTTTTGGAAAGGAAAAAAGAGCTCCCTTCTCTCATTGTTTGTTTAATACTTAAATGTTGAGAATGATGTTTATTTTTTTTCTTTATAGAAAGATTGTACTCAAAATTTACAATGGTTTAAAAATATTAAAGATACACATGGAGCTGTTGAAGTCAATACTTTGGAAGAGTTGAAAATTATTCTTGCTAAAGGGGAGTTTTTTGTTGGGTGTGAAGTCAAGGAAGCTTGTTATCAAATATCAGATGTAGTATATTTACAAGTTGATTCTGGTGGTTTTACAAAGCAATATGATCTCGAGCAACTACAAGATCTTGAGAGTCGTCTAGTGCTATTTGCTGGGCAATGTGCGGAAGTATCAGATGTACAGAGATTTTTGAATGTAAGTACTACTCAATAATGATTGTACGTGCATTGCTGTTATCAAATTAGGTTTTCCATACTATTTGTATAATTGCTGATATGCTTATTAAACTCCATGAACTTGGTTGTGTTCAGTATATTGGTTGGCAGAGAAACTTTTCATTCAGTCAAAGTGAGCTAACTTTATTAGAGACAGATCAGAGATATATGTCTCAACAATTGTCTCGCTGGAGTGAAGCTGTAGATGCTGCTCGCAACCAGTATCATGTTCTTAATAGTTTTACAATGAAACAACTATTGCACCTACGTAAAGAATTGCATCCTGTGTTTTCAGATGAAGATATTTCCTTTTCAGTGACAAAGCAAACTTGTGCTCTTCTACAATGCATTCATCCTTGTGTTGACCCTCAAGATATGAATAACATTTTAAAAGAAGCTTGGAAGCAATCAGATTGTCATATTAGTGATGTCAGTGAAACATCAATTATTAATGCTGGGGATTCAGTTAACATTGAATCTGAAGCTAGTGATGTTACAGTTGATGAGTTGGAAAAGGAGCTTTCTGATGATCAGCGACTTATTTATGTTGAACTTACAGAAATTAATGGGCTTGATGAACTGTGGAGTTTAGCTGAAATTATAAGCAGGAAACAAAATTCTACAGCTATAATGACTGATGACATTCTGAAACATTTTGCTAGTCTTGAAGATGAAGACCAGAAGCCAAATACGGATGAACTTATGAAAATTATTTTAAGTAATCGTAAAACTCAAGAAGAGCCAACAAGTGTTCAAAAGATTTCATCCGACACAGCTAAGAGAGATAGTACTATTGCTGATCCAAAACATTTAGAAATGTAAAAAAATATAGTATTTATTGTACTGCTCCTGACCTTTTCTATTACAGGTTAGATTTGGAAATTCATGGATATTTAAGTCTCACTAATTTAATGCATGTTCTCACTAATTATAATATGAATGCACATCAAAAAATAGGTGAGACTATCAAAGAAGTCAGAATACTTTGAGTGTTTTTGTAACAGAGCTTATACCACGAAATAGGCACTTAAGTGCAATTGACTTTTATCCTGGATTTCCTAATTTGTATGTCACATCAAGTGGTTAGCTAATTATGTGTGTGTTTTTTGAATTTTCATAAACTTGTATAGCTGAAATCCTACAAACAGTGCTTATGATTTATTCCAAAGACAAAGAAATGCCTCTTCCAACTCAAGAAGAAGTATTAATTTGTAATGAAAAGACAACTGCTGAAGAGGTACTTTAACATTTTTATTTTATAGTATAACCATTTTTATAGGTAATTTTGTTATGGCGCAGGGCTATTTTTGATCCTGGACATAAAAGAATTTTTTGCTTAGTTCATGGTGAAAAACTATCATACTCTACATGTGAAGAATCATTGAGAGAACTTAACAGATTGAAGCAGGGGAAAAAAGGTGTATTATAGTATTTGTAATTAGTTTTTATGAGTTTGTAGGCTATCGTCTTGTATTGTTATGTAGTAATAATGAAGATTCTCTTCATTTTATTACTGCATTACATTCTTACAAAAGGAGTAATCCTGATATATCAGGACCTATTCTAAAAGAATATCTACTACATCACCTTATTAAGCCAAAGCATACAAGTATTGGTACAATTTCTTCTGCTATACAAGCATCTTCTGTAGATCCACATTGGTAAGCTTTTTTATAATTATTGACTGCATGGCGTCATTTTACTGCTGGTTACTTGATCTGTGTAAATGTACATGAACAACAATCTGTTGATTGTGACTATTATTAACTCACATAACACGCACACACATGTACACACACCAATCAATAGACCGATAGACATTTACTATTATGATTATTATAATGATTAGTTTATTGTACTGGTCTTCACAAGTTCAGTTTGTTGTTTTGGGTTTTCAATGACAATTAAGAGAGTCTCTTGGCAATACTACAGATCTCTCTTTATAAATTTTAGTCTACCTGTATTATAAGCATCTTTTGTTACCTTGAGTCTGTGAAATTTTATTGGTATTTTTACACAGTAATCAATTAGTAAATAACTAATTGACTGATTTTAAATAATCCTTTAAGATTTTCTTATGTATTGCATTTATCAATTTAAGTAACTGGAAGCTTATGCAGTTACAACTGATTTTCATGACTTATGCTTTACTTTAGTTCCTATGTCCGTATTGTTCAATCTAAAAATCCTGGGAATGGAAAGTCATTATATATTCAGCGTTTAGGAGAAAGGCTGATGAACTCATTAAATATTGAAATACCAATAATAAGAATCCCTATTCATGGACCTGATGTTCCTTATAATAATATTTTAAATAAGCTTAGTGATCTGACACAAGATGATACAAAAATTATTCACTTTGATATTGCATCCACAGTAAGTTTATTGCCATTTATGCTATATAAATCTACTCTTGTAATATTTTTGTAGATGCTGAAAAAAGTGGAAAGTTTTTTGTTTTATGTTCTTGTTTTGGGCTATTTGAAAGATCTTAGAGGAAATACGTGGAGAAGGCAAATTTCACAAATGTATACTATTGAAGTTACTCTATCTGACCGCCAAAATCATGAAGCTACTTACAATTTGTTGCATTTATTTCCAAAAGCATCGTGTTCATCACCAAGTAAATGTCGCTATAGTAACAAGTCCAATGCATGTGAGTTGACATGTAGATCTACTAGAAACTTTTATTTGTGCATTATGACACCATTATAATGTAGATGATGAAAATACTGAGATGGATGAAAATACTGGGATGGATGAAAAGAAACTTCATTCCAATGAATATCAGAGGGTTTATCAGTATTTGAATCGGTATCAGAGCAATGAAAATTTAGATTCATATTCCTTTAATAAGTATGATGTAATGAAAAATCCAAAAAGATTCATTCAAGTGATATTAAAGTAATAACATTTTGTGTGTTATTTTATATATAAATGTATTCCTTATTGTAGTTCTGTTAGTATATTAAAGTCTTGGTCTGAATTTGACAGTTTTGTGAAATTTCTAAATATGCAACTACAAGCAGTTGAGAACTCAATTTTTTGTGTAGCATTGAGTTCTGGCTTTAAAAGTTTTGTCGTTAAAATGATGATAGAAATGTCTAAGGTAACTTTTAAAATCTGAATTTTAATGAAAAATTCTAGGAATTTACAGCTTCAAACAGTGCCTCTCCACTAATTTCTCACCCTTGGAATGAAAGGTGGCCTAATTTTATTAAATTAATTACATAAAATTCTTGTCCATATAGTTGTCACCCTTACCTCTTTTTCAACAAAGATCAAACAACATTTACCTTTATTGGATTTTGCATCAGTAAAGAGTGTCATGCTATTGATCCTAGAACTGGGTCGTTAATATTACCTGATGTAATGTCTAATGAATTAAGGCAGCTATTAATTGTTCAACGCCTTGACATGACTGAAAATTATTACAGATGGTATAAAATTTTCAATGAGTTTGATATTATAATAACATCTTTGATTATATAGGAATAAAGATGTTCTTTTGCAAAAACTAGCCACAGTTATTGGACTGAAAGACTACTACGATCCAGATCCATCTTATGTCATTACTGTTGACAATATTATGAAGATGATGGCAATTTTAATGCGCTTCCGGTTATTTACCATTTTGAAAATACAAATTCAGTTTGATTTTATAGTTCTGGCATTCCTGTTGTTATTATGGGTGAAACTGGCTGTGGAAAGACAAGGTTACTTAAATATTTGTGCAAAATAGCTTCACAAGATGATGAACATGAAAATGATGTAGACTCATGTATTGTTGTACTGAAAGTGAGCTCCCCCATTATCAGTACTAATTTTTTTTTAATTTAGGTTCATGGTGGAACAACAAGTGATGACATTGAAAAAGCTGTGAGAAAAGCTGAAGATTTAGCAGAAAAAACATGTTTAAGAAGACTAGTAGCTTGTGACAGTAAAGAATCTGTTCCTGTGTTTGGAACTGTATTATTCTTTGATGAAGCCAACACATCTGAGCATATCAACCTTATTAAGGAAATTATGTGTGATGGCTCTATTTTTGGTAGAAAAATTCACCGAGATCTTAGAGTTGTGGCTGCATGCAATCCATACAGAAAGTAAAAATTTTTTGTTTATTAGAGAATAATTTTATTATTATTATGTTAGGCATAGTAAAGTAATGATTAAGAGACTGGAATCTGCTGGACTAGGATTTTCCACCAAGTCTTCTCAAGCATCACATATACTTGGTATGATTACTAGTTTTAAGATGTTTATCTTTCTGTATATTTATAGAACAAATCCCTTTAAGGCATTTGGTTTATAGAGTTAATGAATTACCTCTTAGCATGAAATCTTTAATATTTGATTTTGGTGGAATACAGGAAAGTGCTGAACAACAATACATAAAGCAAATTGTTGAGATCAAAGTTTGTCTATTATATTATATTTTGGTTTTCATGATTTTGCACTATAGATACAGCATAGCTTGAAAAAGTATGTAGATTCAATTAGTGATGTTTTATCATGGTCTCAGAATTTTATGAGGAATAAAGAGGTTATTAAAATTTAATAATTATTTTTTACTTTATTATGCTTTACAGAGTGAATGTAGCTTTGTTAGTCTACGAGATATTGATAGAGCTGTGACTGTCTTTATTTTTTTTCATGAGTTACTAAATGGTAGTGTTCTTACAAAGGAGATTAATTTGAAAGTGAAAAACCATGAGCCTATTGAAGTACTGTTTATTAACATTAGATATCATTTAAATATTTTATTGTTTAGAATAAAGTAACTAGAGCTCTTATTTTTACATTGGGTGTTTGTTATCATGCAAGGCTGGAGTCAAGAGAGGAATTTGAAGAAAATGTTTTACTTGTTTTTAAAAAGCCTATTCATGTAAAACAAAGTAATGGAAAACAAAGTAATGGTTCAGTATTTCGTGATGAAATAAAATGGTATAATGAATTAAAAGTTTGAACAGTCATGTATTACCATTTATAGCTGCCAAGAGGTATTTTTGGACAATATGAAATTAGGAAGGAATATTGCCAGAAATAATGCTCTTCGAGAGAATGTTTTTATGATGGTAGTTTGCATTTCATTACGAATTCCACTATTTCTTGTTGGTAAACCGGGAAGTTCAAAGTCATTGGCAAAGTCTGTTATTCTCAACTCATTGAAAGGGCAAAATTCAGAATCTGAATTCCTTAAAACTCTTAAAGAAGTAATTGTTTTCTTTTTAAATGGAAAATTGAAAATAATTTTTTTTCAGGTTCAACTTTTTTCTTATCAGTGCTCTCAGCTATCAACATCAGAAAGCATTTTGAAACTATTTTCTCAAGCGTCTAATGTTCAGTCCACATGGGACAAGTCTAAATATGTTGCAGTTGTTGTATTAGATGAAGTTGGCTTGGCTGAAGACTCTCCTAGTTTACCATTAAAAGTATTACATCCACTTTTAGAGGATGGAACTGAAGGCAATAGTTACTCTGTAGATGAAGTAAATTAAATTTTAAGTGGTTGTAATGTACAAAGAAACTTAACTTTTAATATTCAATCTTACAAATATGCGGTTGTTGTATTATTTAGGTTATTGATCAAGAGGAGCGAGTAGGTTTTATTGGAATATCAAACTGGGCATTGGATCCAGCTAAAATGAATCGTGGCATTATGATCATTCGTGGCGACCCATCACAAGAAGAGCTGGAGCAAAGTGCCTTGTATGTCATTGCAAATGTATGGAATGATTTTTTAATGAACCTTAGACAAATATGTTCAGAGGAAGGCATGGATAAAACCATTGTAGAATCACTGAAATTGTATTTCAAGTCATTTGCTGAAGCCTATCAGAATGTATTGAAGGAACAGAAGAAAATGAGAGAATTTTTTGGGTTGCGAGACTTTTATAGGTATGTGTAATAATGTTCATAGATATAACTTTAATTATGCTAATTATTTGTGATAGCTTAGTCAAAATGTTGTTCTGGATGTGCAAGGCAGCAAAACAAGTACCAAATGAAAAGCAGATTCAACATGTCATTCTAAGAAATTTCAGTGGATTTCCCATTGATGCTGAAATAGATATTATTGAGCTCTTCAATAAAAAACTCTGTCCTAGCCCACATCCTGATAAAAATGAGAGTCGAAAAAAATGCCGTGGCTTCCTTAAAGAGGAATTTAAAGAAACTATGTTTAATGTTGTGTCAGAAAATTTATTTCATGATTTCAAGAACATGCTTGAAAAAGAGCAGGAGGAACAAATTTTAACGTCACAAGATGTTATAGATCATCAAAAGATTGAATTTAGTAATTGTTATCAGAAAGGTGACTTTAAATACCCTGAAATTAACGAAAAATTTGAAAAAATGGTTGACGAATATTGCAATAAGAGGTTTGATAATGAAGTAAGTAACAGGGAATTTTATTAATTAATTAATTTGAATAGCTATGGCCATTTATTATTAATCCTGATAACTCAGCCAGTGGATTAGTTGTTTCAAGTTTGTTTAATAAAGAAAGAACAATACATGGGTAGAGCTCAATTTCAATATGCATTTTGTTGAAATTTTTTTTAGGGAAAGTCGCTATTTGCTCTTTTTAACTGAAAATTATTCTGCTCTTCAAACTTTGCAACATTTTCTTAGGGATTCTTCTTTAAAACAGGATAAACCTCCATATGTACTTTTTGGTAGTAGCTTTCCAAAGGATAAAGATTTTACACAAGTAATTTTATAAAAAAAAATTGGGCCTATATAATATGTTCATTTCAGGTGTATAGAAATATTAACAACATTAAAGTTTGTATGGAAACTGGAAGAACTGTTGTTTTGTTAAATTTAGATCATTTATACGAAAGTTTGTATGATGCATTAAATCAAGTAAGATTCTTATTCAGGTTGTATGTGTGTGAATGATTCCACTTAGTATTATGTATACTTTGGAAACATGAGATTCGTTGATTTAGGCCTCCAGAATCATCGTGTGAAGTGCCATGTTCATGATAATTTCAAGTATGCAACATACATTTGTCCTATATTCTAGTGTGCTAGTATTGATCTATAATGGTTGAATGAGCATCTTACTTTGTGTCAATAATTCTTTAAATAGAACTAATCACAGCACAAATTTTTAAAGAGCCTGTGCTCATTGAAAATTAAATTGCTACTTAAAACTTTTCATTACTTCATGTTTGTATCATTAGTTGGCTAATCATTCATGTGTAGCACAGTAGAATATCAGTGTATAACAAAGAAATATTCCAACCTTTTGTGTTTTTGATCATTTAAGAGTGAGAATGAGACTTAAAAGTATTGTACAGCACTAGAATTTTGTGAATATAAAATTTTGGGAAACTTTTCTTGCTAAGCATATTTCAAGAAATTACAAGTTAAGACATAGGGAACTTAATTTCACAAATTAAGTTATAAGCTTTACAGGAGGTCAAAGCCAACCTGATAAAAATTATGGAATACAGGCAACAATTGATAACACCAGACCAGACAAAAAGAGAGAGAAAATAGATAATAGATAAACAAAAAACACACGAGAAATGTTAAGTAAAAGACAATGGAGCATTGACATAAAATTCACAAAATTAGCAAATTTTTTTATACATGGCATATTGATTCATTATGCTTTTTTTCAAGAAGTTTACAGTTTTGAGCCTTATTGTAATAGTTTTGCACACAATAGTGTCAAGAAACACACAGATCTACCTTACTTTTAATACAAATCCATATTTTATTACTATTTATGATAAAACTTGCAAATTTTTATAATTTCAATAGGTTGATATTAATTGCAGAAAAGGAAAAAGTTTATCAAGAATTTCCAACTGCATTAATTAATAGGCTTGAAAAACACTTTGTTGTTACATCTACCATTCTTACAGAAGAACAGTTAAGTATAGAGCAGAAACTAAATGAATGGATACAGAAGTTTTGCACAGAAGGATTTAATAGAAAGTATTTATACTATACAGTGTAAAAATGTAATATTATTAATATGTACTGGTAACAATTATAGATTTGAACCCTCTGATTCGTTTATTGGCTTTCAAACTGACACACCAGCAGCTGTAGTGTTTAAAGCATCAAGAATGATGGAAAAAAATGATTTTGAAAAGGTACAATAGAATGACTTAATTATTTATTAATTTTGAGACTTATTAATTTGTAAAGCAATTAGATAAATGCAAATTTTTGCTGTTGGAAATTGCAACTCCTGATGCTCTTGTTCGCCTCAAACAAAGTGAAAATATTGATGAAAATGAATTTCAAAAAATAGCATCAATATACATTCATGAGCAACACCATCAGTCATTACAAGAATTCTTGTTATATCACATAAATAAATCATCAGATAGGCAAGGTTGCAGGATGCAGGTCAGTCTAATTTTATTGAAGTAAAATATAGTAAATAATTTTAGTAAGATTAACAAACATTTAATTTTGAGTGCATCATCCATTTGCAAATGTTTAATCCTTCAAAATGCATTCTCATAATTTAGTTTAGAATTGAGATCTAACGTTTTTAGGTAACTACCTGTAATGATTTGTTGTCAGAAGAGGAAGTTGGGGATATTCACAAAACTTTAAAGTTAGAAGGTTCTGTTGATGTCTGTATTTTACAAGAGTTTGACACAGAATTCGAATTTTCAAGGAAAATCAGGTAGATAGAGTGAGATACTGATGTTTGTACAACATCAGTATTCAAATTTTTATGTGTTCCAATGCAACTGTAGCAACTTTATTGAGTCCAATCAGCCTATATTTCCAAACCACTCTTGCTTTGACTTTGTGATTGATTTTTAGTACAAATTTTGAAGCCTGAAATATATGCATGTTTACATATAGAATGCCATTCCTATTTTCTTTTAGCAATATAATTATTAGTCATCAAGTTCAACTTATAATATTTCCTGCCTCTTAGCTCCATCCGTGATGCACTTTTCAGTTAAGAAGAAAATTTATGCTAAAATTGATAATTTGCTAGTGAAAATGTGCAGTTGTTCAAATTTAAATTTTATTAAGAATTAGAAGAAGTGTATTTTCACTTGCTAATTGCCGATTGTAGTGCAGTGAAGACCAAGACTAACTCTTTGGGCTGATTTACAGGGCAATATGTTACAACCAAAAGTGCCTGTAAAAAATATGTTGTAACATAAGAGTTGAAAAAGTTTCAATTCTTGTGTTACACCATACATTTACACACACTTCCAGTTTTTACACATTGCTGTAAATTGGCCTTTCTTTTCAACTGAATAGAGCATTACAAAGATAAACTATTACTTAAATTCTGAAATAAAAATTTTTTAATGAATAGATCTAGTACTGTAAAATTATCACAAGAAATACAGTAGCTTGATTATAATTTAATGTAATGATAAACTTTCTTGATTAAATAACTGATCAGCAACCAGAATATGCAACTAAAATTAAGATGGAGAATGCACTACTTTCACATAAGCTTAAATAGCAGAACCATACAATTAGTGAGTACATACATTGCATGCAGGCCATGTGAGTTTAGAATCCTCGTGTCAATCTTTTAATCATTTTTATTTAACAAAGGAATAATAGTTGCTACAGCTGTAGAGGAGTGTCTAATACAAAATAATGTAATAATCATTGGCTTTCAATCACTAGAAAAATGTTCAAATATTGATGTGCTTTACTGTTTTATTTAGGGAATCATTTCAAAATAATACATCTCTTTTAATAATTCAATGTGATTCTGGCCACTTAAATAGTGATCTCCTTGCATGTGCTAAATACAGAGTGGATGATATATTTACTGACATGAATACTGGTGCATTTAATTCTAGTTTTGAAGCTGAGCGGCAAACATCTTGTCATATTCTTTTTACAGTTCTGATACCAAGAGAAAATAGTAAATCATCATTTGTCAGTTTTCTTGGAGGTGATTGGATCTGTTCTCATATTGATGACTTCAGTCCTGAATGGAACTATTGTCCTGTTTCATTAGCTCTTAGTGACACTTCTCTCAGCTTGCTTTTTCATAATCCTAATAAAGATTCCCTTCATTGTGGCACCATTGACCATTGCAGGTTTCTATACAAAAACATAACAGAAGCTATTTCATTTCTGTTTCCTAATTCAAAATTTGAAGGAAGAAGTCATGATCTTAACAATATTCTGTACAGGTTGCTGATGATCAGTCCCTCTGTTAGCTGCAATGATGATTTATCTGAGGTAGAAAGCTCTGCATCAGCATTTTACAATGAAACTGTGAAGTGTATTTTTGAGCAATTGAAACGAAATGAAGTTGTGCACAAAAATTGGGTTACTGAAGTTGCTTTGCAACCAGCAGAGTTACAGAAAGGAGGAGCCTTTGCGAAGGTTCTTCTACGGAGTCTTGATAAAATTGTTAATGAAATCCTGGCACAAATTATTTCTTTTACTGACAGGAATTACAATTTGAAACTAATTGACCCTAGCAATAGTTCTGTTCCACTTTGTGTCAGGAATTTTTGGATTTTGGCTTTTTCTGAACTTGTTAAAAATCATTTAGCATCTTCCCCTTACAAATTCGGAAATGAGGTATATGACTATCATAGCAAGTTTCCCTTTTCAAAAGAGATACAGTGTGGAATTGATGCCATTTTAAACTTTCAAGGCCAGAGTTCGGGTAAGTAGAGCTACTTGCTGTTTATATGAATACCTATAATCCATTTTTTTGTCTTCAGATTTGTCAAGTAGTATTCCAGATCACCTGTTGTTGACATATGACTTGCTCAGTAAAATTGATATTACCAGTTTTGATGAAATGAAAGAACGATATATTTATGACCTTATTCAGATTAAATGGTGTCATACCTACAGGAATGATAAAATAAATAAAAGGATATTAGATGTAAAGCTATATACTACTTTGTACAAAGTTATGAATGTACTATTTTTTGCAGATTATTTCTAATACCATTATGGAATCTTTAGCACTACATAATTGGTCTGGTTCAGCAAAATTTTTTGACGTATTGAAAAATGTTCACCAAGTTCTTGACCAAAAAAAGAAGGAGATCAGTAATTTTAAAGAAATGGTATTTTTCTTTCCCAGAACATTAGATAAACTGTTATTAAAGAAAAAATTAGTGAGTATATTATTATTTTTATTATAACTTGATGTCATTTTTTGCAGCCTTTGAATGTCTTGGCAGCTATTGCTGCCTTGGAAGTACTTCATGACGACCATCAATTTTTGCGTGGATCACCGGCAGCTGCTGTCAGCAAATTGCACCAATTTTATCAAGTGTCAAGTTTAATTGATACAGCTTTATATTCTTATGAACTAGTGGAGTCAGAAAGTGAGGGAAGTAATGATAATAGAGACTTGATTGTTACTTCAAGGTACATTCATATTAATGCTTTGCCATTAAAGCCTTTAATTGTATAGGTTAAAGTGGCATGGTCTTCAAGTGTTACACTTGTTTATGGAACATGTTGTAAAGGATCACATTCAATACTTTGATAAATTATTACAGTTCACCAACAGAATTAGAACGGTTTGTAATTTAATGTAAATATTGAAGTCATACTATAAATCCTAGTCATTTGTTTCTAAACCTTGTGATTTTACCAAAAAAGATACGATTAGAACTCTTGAACAATACTTGTCACTAATGTACAAGCAATTTACTTCTACTCATAGGTAAGACATTCATATTTTGGATGAACTGTTCTTTTGTTTTTATATTTTAGTCAAGAAGCTGATAATTTTTCTCAAAATTGCATTAATTTTTATGTCGCTGTCATATCAGATATTTGTATGAAGTATGGCCCACCTGAGGATGAGTTGATTGATAAACTGATTGAAACTGTGTTTTCAGTTTCATCTGAAGATGAAACCATTGCTCAGACACGTGAACTAACACCTTTTTTAAAGCAAGAGAAATTTAATGACAGTGTACCAGTAGTTCGCTCATTTATTTTACAAATTTTGCTAGACCACAAGTGAGTATTTTAAATAATGCAACTACTCATAGCTTTGTCTTTAAATATCTAGCTATAATAATGTAAGAAAACATATTGAGAAATATATGGCAAAAGCCCAAAATCTTGGAACAGAAAGTGATGGTTTCTTAAATTCACTGAAACTTACATATTGTCAACTTCATGAGGTTAGTTACAATACTGCAAAATTATTGCTATTCTTTAAACAGAATTCCTTGTATGGTTCTATCATATCAATGAAAATTATTCAAGACATGTTAACTAAAAATGAAAGCACTTTGATTGGAGTAGATGAGACATCATTTAGTCTACTAAATATTGAAACAATTGCTTGTACTAGATTTTTGCTGACACATATATGTGAGTTTTTGGTCACCAAGTTAGAAGAAGTAATAGAAAATCAAGAACTTTGCTCATCTGTTGAAAGAATGTGTAAACGAAGTGACATCAATAGTGAAACTGCTGGACCCAAAATATTCCTCTTGAAAGTATTGTACAGAAGATGTGGAGAAATGGGTGTTCAAAGGCTTTTATGTAAACCTTCTTTTAGCTGGATTTTGCCTGAAAGAATTTTTGGTCATGATAAAGTAAGGGTATTGCTACTCCTTCTCTGTTTTTATGCTATAATTTTAGTCAGTTCATTTAATGGACTACTTTTCATTATATGGCTCAAAGTATTGCAGCGTAAGGCATTTATTGATTGATATAATGTCTAATAAAGGAGACCTCAAGCAATCACTTGATTCTTTAAAAGTAAAATGTTCAAGTATATAAACAGCAGTATCGTTGTAATTATCATAATAGGTTGAAATATCAACAAATCCTTTTTTGTTTGCATTAGCCATATTTATGGAAGTGACTTTGACATTTTCCAAGACAAATGGAGCAGCAATTTCAATAAATGTAAGTAGAATCAATTATTATATTTGTTAGCCCGCTAATGATAATACATTTACATAGATCATGCAAGAATTAAGGAAATTTGCAAGGAACCAACCATGTCTCCATAATGTATTTATGACAGTATTTTGACATTATTTTTTAATTTAATTTTATAGTTACAAGAACTAACAATTGCTCTCATTGACAATCAATTTTGTGCTCAAGGAGCAGTTGAACAATTGTTTGTTCAACCTGAACGAAGCACTGAAGATTTAAATTTTACTGCAGTTGTAGTACACATAGCAACAGGAATTATTTCAAAGAAAAATTGTAACTTACTATCTTTCTTTTATGATATTATAGCTGACCCTGAGAAGTTAAAAGTGATTGAAATAGTCATCATTGTGATATTTTAGTACTTTTAAAATTTATTTTAGAGCATTTATGTTCCTGCTATGCCTGAAGACTTTGTTGGGCAGGCAAGACGAATATTTCGTGGCCAGTTTTATGGTATGCATTTTACTGGTAGTAACAATAGTAATTTTTATATTTAGTTTGTCCAAATGGTCATTCTTACATGGTTACTGAGGTATATAGATCTATTATCCATATTTTCATTAAATTGTTTGTAATTGTTCATTTAGTGTGGCTCACCTGTAGTAGAAGCATTTTGTTCAGGATGTGAGAAGATGGGAATTAAAACTACTATTGGAGGCTTAAACCATAAATTAAGGGAAGATAACAAAATAAGGTTATTTGATAAAATTACCATGAATATGTATAGCTAACTCCTTTTGATATGCATTCTTGCATGCTAATAATGTATACAGAATGTGTTGTTTAAACTACTCTTTGATTTTATTTTTGCTACTGGGGTTTGACTCCCATGTCATTCCTAAGATTGTTTTTACCTGCATGAAATTTATATCTGTATATTATTTGTATACAATTCTTACATTTCTTTTATAAACTTGTATTGAAAAAAATAACAATTAAGATGCCTTTATATAGACCTTAGTGACACAAAATAAGCACCAACAACGCATGCAAGATACTGAAAGCAATCCTAAAAAATATTTTTACACTAATATTTTTGCAGAGGTGAACCTATTCAAACAGGATATCTTCTTGGAACTCCTATATCATCACCAGCAATTCCTGAGAGATCACTGAGTCCAACTGCTTGTACTATACTTAAAATATTGCTACATTCTACTTTACTTTGGACTTGTTGCTCAAAAAGTCACTTGATAAAATCTATTCACCAAATCATGACACATGATGATGTTCCTCCTGACAGTTTACCAAAATTTTTTTGGCAACATCTTTTAATGAATTTTGAAAGCCTGTGTGAAGCATTATCCATTGGTCTTGATGATGCCATTCTTCTCATTCATATAATAATGGTTAAAATCACTATGGATACAAGAGGTAAAAGTATTAGTTTATAGATAGTTTTAGCTACCAATTTTTTAGAATTTTCTGTCAATAAATTATTGACATCAGAAAATAGGCAAAAATGGGAAAAAGATTTCAATAGTGCTTACATACAACCTGTTCTAAAAGTAGCTTAATACCTTACATCTCTTCATTGAAATGTTTGTAGGAAATGCACAAGAATATTACAGATTCAAGAGAAGTGATAATGAAAGATGATCATTCAAGTATGTCAGTATACATGCCGTTATCATTTTTGATTGTTTTTTTGTAATTATTATGTATAGATCATCCAAAGTTATTAGATTTTGTTTATGAAAGAAATATACATAATCCAAGCATGATTCATCACTTGTGGAAATATAGACCTGCAGTTACATTGGAGTATCTTAGTCAGCAAATTGAAGCTAGAGAACTTACTGATACTTACCCAGCCTTGTCGTTTTTTCTACGAGAGGTTATAAGTTAAATTGCCAAATCATTTTAAAGATTTTATTTAGGAAGTATGCCTTAGAGCTACTAAATTCTTGCCAGCAATTGCTAAATTACAGGGGTCCTTATATAGCATTCATCACTACCGATCAAGTCGAGAAGAGTTATTGAAACTTACTATTAGAGACTTTTTAAATGGCGCACAAGGTATAGGTGATCAACATACCTGTAATTTTGTTTTAAACTTCTGCTTTTAGCTGAAGAAAAAGAGACATTAGCGGAACTAATACATGAGTTAAGGCAAGCATGGAATCTAGTCCGAGGACGACTTCAATCACAAAGTCAGTTATTTTTGGTTACATTTTTAATGCTACCAATAACATTAGAACTACTTTCTGATGAATGTATTAACACTACTTTTGTTGATGACACTACCTTGATTCATCTACTGCCTCGTAGTGATTGCTGTACAACAGCTCTTGTTAACTTTTTAGTAACAATACATAACCAGTTTGTCAATATTTGTTTAAAATTTACTCGTGAAATGCACTCCTTTGCAAAAACCTGGTAAGTTAACAGAAGCATTAAATTAATATTTATTTTAATGTAGGAGATCTTATCGAGGTGACCGAAGAGTTGATTTAAAAAATCTCCACAAATCACAGCTTTTGAATTATGACGACAAATTAAAAGCTATCATATTACGAAATTGTCACTATTCCTTGACTGTTGGGAATAGTCAAACAGATGTTGAGTATAATTTTGCAGCTCTTGAAAAACAGCTTTTAAACGAATTTGTATATGGAAAGCCTCTGATAAAAAATGACATTTGCTTTGCAGAATATAGAAAAGATGTTTATACTGGAGAAAAATTTGATAAAATAGAAAAGAAAGTTAAACCAACAGTAAGCACTTCAGATTTATATGGTCATGTTGTACTTGTGTTTTATTAGATTCCATTGCAAGATGATGCCAAAAATGAGCTGGCTTCTAAGCTAAACTCTATTCGTCATTTAAGGGAGGCTTTGGACCACTTAGAAATAGTGATGGGATTTTTAGCTGCAGGAGGTGAAGAAAATGGTAATATGCTAATAGCTAAGTATGCTGAGCTGCTAAACATTAAGAGCTTTAATACTACAGTGAGCAAATTTATAATTTCAATTTACTATAAAGCTTAATTGTATTTTAAGATTGGAGGCCACTGTTTGGGACAGATTCAATCTTTGTGGAAAGTGGTCTCACTCAATCTAGCAATTGAGCTCACTATTACTAATGAGGTATCTACAAAAATATGTAATAATTGCTATAATTCTTGTCTAGGCACCTTTTAGTGTGTTGTCTTGTTTTTGTAAACCAATTGAGACTGAAGAATTAAAAGCTCTTGATGAGAAGTTGCAGCAAGTTAATTTGGATGTTGTTTTGAGTGCACTAAATGAGTTTATTGAAGTTCATGTGAGAAATGCTCAGGAAAATGAATCTAATTGGAAGTGAGTTTTGCTAGAATGGCACAAAATGTAAGTCATTTGTTATTTAGGATTGGTGAATGTATAGAAGGATATTTTGGAGTATTTCCTGAAAATTTAAAACAAGAGTTTGAAGTGATTGAAACAATTTCAATGGAGCATATCATTGCTGTGTGGAAAAAACTTGTGACTTACCAAAGACATCACAAAAATAGTACAGCATAGTGCTGTGGTGTGTTTGTTATAGATAGACTAATTTAGATCTAGTAGTAGTAATAATTATTTTAAAAATTTGATTTGGTCCTTGAGAGAAAAAAAATGTAGATCTAGCTATATATACTTAGCGGTGGTTTTGGAGCCATTTCTTGGAAAAAAATGATGGACTAGCAGGGTAATTTTTAGAAATTATTATATTTTTTAAAAGTCTTAACTCAAACACTTTTAGTCAGAATCTGCTGAAACTTTTTACACAGCATAAGTACATCAGCATGTATTAGAAAATGCAATAAAAATTTTGGTGTGATTTTTGAGTCCAGCAATTACAAAATCATTTATGCACTCAAAAAAGATTTCACTTCAGGTTCAGGGAAAGGTATGTAAAGAATAACATATGATTACCAGCATTATACCGGTATACCTTGATTACCATTATTACCTAAAATTACCATTATTACATATTACCATTATTATCTACATTACTATAGCGTGCACTCAGTGACCAATGAAATAATATCACAGCACTATACAAACTTGCAATGTAGTCTGTAGTGTGCACTATATATGTAAGGTTTTGTGTGCATAATAATAAACTACATTGAGACAGTTGCGGTGAGTGTATTGTATGCCACTGAAGCCAGTCAGAGCTTATAGCCTACAAGATTGCTACATTACCATTATTACCTTGCCTACATCATTATTACCTTACCTACATCATTATTAGCTACCTGCATTAGATCTACCTATTACCAGAATTGTCTACAAGTTAATTCACTTAATTGTATACAGACACACCCACTTCCTGTAAGTTTTGTGCATACATATACAACTTAATTTTACAATTTATGCAAGTTTTATTTTCTAGGATTTATACAGTCTAATCAAAGTACTGGTAGTTTTAAATTTTGTAAATAATTAATTATTAATTCAAGGTGAGCATGAAATATTAAAGTCCATCTAATTTCAAATGGATTGAGTTTCTGTATATATATATATAATGTCTGTTCAGGAATCTCTCTCTTTTTATAATAGGTTTCTTCCTTCTATTTATTCTGAGTATGTCTAGAAAACTGAAAAAAGGTCATTGATTCTATATTGGTCTCAAACTGGTACTGGCAAAGAGTTCTCCAATAAATTAGCGAAAGACTCATCTCGTTTAGGACTACCTGCCATGACCTTGACCATGAGGACTGCACTGACTGGGTAAGGATCTAATTAATCATTAGTTTGGGTTTATTGATTATTTTGTCATCACTCCAGTCCAATGTGCTGGGCTTTCTGTATGATTATTTTTATTAATATTAAAACTAAGTTAAGTATACTAATGCATATGAATGTCTTTATCACCTTAAGTGATGTAGAAAGTTTGAACCTATATTTTCACAGATTTCTAAGTTGGCTGAAAATTAGGCAGCCAGTTGTTTATCTGTATACTTTGTAATATGCATTTTTTATTTATTATTTATTTATAATTATCAGAATGGTTTTTTAAAAGCATCAATTATATATATATGATTTTTATGAAAAGTGATTCTAAATGATTTATATTATTACATTTCTTGATACATATTGATGTTATGTAGAACTTTTGAGCTGATTTTGATTAAAGTTTTTTTAATTATCGAAGTTATGTAAATGTACTGACCTTTATATCCATATATAATCAATTCACTGTTTAAGAGTTATCTTTAGCTGTATCATGTGATCATTATGATTTTTGTTGTTTCAGTTTTTTGGCATAATACCTAATTATTGTTATTATTAGGATTGATGGATCACTTATTAATTTTGTAATGGCCACTTATGAAGAGGGAGATCTTACTAATAATGCCATCAGAAATGCTTTGACTGTTTAAAAGAAACTACTGATAATCTTCAAGGACTAAAGTAAAAAGTTAGCTCATCAATATTAATCTGTCATTGTAGCTTATTCTATGAAGTAGTTTTATGGTGCGTATAATTATGTATTTGCATCATTTTGGTTGCCTTGTCATTGCTAAGCTATTTTATGCTTTTCGCTGTCACTGTCTGCATTATAGAACAGTAGATGTTTCTTTTATCTTAGCTATGACTTTGTAGTGTATAGTGCTGTATGATTTTGTCATCTCATCAGTAACAACATATACTGGTACTTTGATTGATGTAGACTTAAGTCAACTGTTGCTTTGATATGTTGATTTGATTAATTAATAAGCTGGCTGTATTTGTCAAATTAATTAGTGCTGGCATTAAACACATTTATTTTTTATCTTCAGCATCATTGTGTTAGTTTTGATATGCCAAGAACCCAGTTCTCAGGATTCCCATACTTTAGAAGTTTAAATAAAAGACCCTGCATGTGATGGCAGCTAGGGCAACAAAGAACTTATGAAAGTTTCGTTATATATTCCTACATAAAGTTTTTTTGGGGTCCAAAAATAATATTGGATAATTGATGTATATTATCTTCGCTGTAAAAAATAAGGTGTGCCAGCAACACCCAAAATGTTAAAAATAACGGGTGTCCATGACACTTTGGGGTGTTAAGTTTTCATATTAATTTTCTCACTTTCCTTAACACTTTATTTGCAAGTAATACTAATATCAAACATTTCTGGAA